TAGTAGTAGATCTGAGAGCTGTGCCAACTCTGTAATAGTTACAATTTCAATTTGAAGAGTTCAATTTTCCTTAAGTTAAAATAAAAATTAATAAAGTTCAATGTTGAAATAAACTATGGACTTTTTCATTTATTATTCATATTGATTTAGTTTATAAAATTTTATCAATTTACTCTACATGAATTTATTTTTTACTGACATAAAAACTTATTTTACAATAAAAATTAAACATATAAAACTTATAATCTTTACAATTGTTTACAAGATGTGTATTTACTTATACTTTAAAATCTCATTCATTGATTTTGATTTACAATATTTGATTTAACATATTTGACAAGTTAATTATAACAGAGGGAATAGCAATTAAGATTGTTTTGAAATTAAATTTTAAATATAAATATTTTCTTAAAAATTTAAGTTTTTCAAGTTAAAATTTAGAATGAAATTCATGAAGAACATGTCACTTATGAAGTTAAATCTAAAAAAGCTCTGCATATTTTAGATTTAAAAAAAGCCAAGTATGATTTTTATTTTTTACATACAAATTTAGTTTTTTGAATATTTTATATTTTTTATTTGTGTAAATTTTTTAAATTAAATGTCCATAGTTTCACACTTGCACAATTTAATTGGGTTTCTATAAAGCAATTTTTTTTATTTAAATACAAAAATATAGCAAAGTTAAAGCAATTTTTTTACAATAAGATGCCTCTCCTGATGTAAACATGCCTCAACCCCCCCCCCCCCCCCTCTTGATATAAGATAAGTTTAACATTATGACCATGATCAGAAAAGTTTATATATTAGGATTATAGATTAAAACAATAATGCAATAATGTTATTGATTAATTATATTGAGGAAGGTGAGACTTCATAATGGTGGTCAAGTCTTCTAAGGAGAAAAAAAAACTCTGATATAAAACCTCCAATTTAGTTGTGGATAAAGATAAGAGGAGCCTGAATGGTAATCTTTCTAGTGATAGGTATGAAACCCCTAGTTTAATTATTTTATTACCCCCATAATTTTTAATTGTGGATAACAGCTAGAGGACCTTTAATTGTAATCTAGTGATATTATGAAAATAAAAAGACTCAGTCTTAATCTACAAAGCAGATTAAAACCAGAAAGGACATCCAATTCTAAAAAATTTGTTTTAACTCCTCCATAATGTTATATTTTAAAAAAAAAGCAGGTGTGCCATGCATTGTGTGGAGTTATGAACATTAAATAAGAATTTATAATATATGTTTTTAATATAACTTATACGATATATATATATAACTTTAATTTAAGTTATGTTCATAGTATTAAATTGATAACGTATACATTATAAGTTATATGTATATATAGATTTTAAATTATTATAAAAATAATAGCTTAATTGGATAATTAATTTTTTTTTAAAGAAAAATACATCAAGGATTTATTTGGCTTCGTTCTTTTGAAAACGGAAAAGAAGTTGCAACTAAGGTATCCATTTTTTCATTTATTAATTTTAAAAAAATGTTTGAAAATAATGGATTTTTACTTTTATTTTTTTTTTTTACCCTAAACATTTTAATAATAATAAATATTTAATTACTTTAACAATTATATTTATAATATAAAAAAAATATATTTTTATAATAAAATAATAAATTTAAATATGTATAAATAAAAATAGAAATAAAATAAAAGTTAAAAAAAATATATAAATATGTTAAAAATAGTTTAAAAAGGATAAAAAAAACAACAGAAAAGGAACAAAAAAACATGTTCCCAAAAGTCGCAAACAGGATGCTATATATATATATATATATATATATATATATATATATATATATATATATATATATATATATATATATATATATATATATATATATATATTATTTTTTTAAATTTATTTATTTGAATTTTCATGCTATATTTTTCTATACAATGTTCTTATATCCAAAGATATTGTTGGCTTAGCATAGGATCTGCCACAAATAGTCATTAAGGCTAATCCAAAGTAGCGTCTGTTATTGACTAACACTTTAGCGTATCGAAGTACTACTCAAGCGCTGAGTTAGCGGTGGCAGGATTTGAACTTGTATCTTACAACTGTCCGGGTTTAAACTTTTTGTTCGACGCTCTAACCAACTGAGCTATCCAGCCACATATATATATATATATATATATATATATATATATATATATATATATATATATATATATATATATATATATATATATATATATATTATAAAAATGTTCGAATTATCATGTTTTTTCAAATAAAGTTCTAAGAGCATTTTAGATATTTAATTGCTAAATTTAGAGTTAGTGATTTGGTTTATACTTGGTCATAATGCATCTTAATTTATTAAAAATTATATTTATTTTCATTTTTCCCTACCATCCAAGGTTGGCACTGAAAAATATTAAATTATGTTTTTTTAAGGTAATTTAAGGTAAATTAAAACAACAAACATTGTATATTTTGGCCTAAGGATTATATTTGATTTGACAATTATTTAAAAACATATGCTTATAAAAAAAGGTTCTCAAAACTAAAATTCACCCCACTGAAATGTGACAAATACCCGGCTAGCCAACTATGTTCCTCAAAAAACCAACTAAAACTTGAATATCACCTTTTTTGGTGGAGGAGGGGGTGGTACACACACTGCTAAAATTGCTAGTTAATTTACTATGGTAAAAGTTAAATAACTGTTATTTAAAGCAGATAAACTTCAATTGATAATCTTATCTTACACATTTGTTGCACAAAAACCTTACATAAGGACAATAATAAAATTTCAACATAAAAGACCTAAATTCTATATATATATATATATATATATATATATATATATATATATATATATATATATATATATATATATATATATATATATATATATATATATATATATATATATATATATATATATATATATATATATAGATATATAGATATATAGATATATAGATATATAGATATATATATATATATATATATATATATATATATATATATATATATATATATATATATATATATATATATATATATATATATATATATATATATATATATATATATATATATATAGATAGATAGATAGATAGATACCAAGTAAGCAGACTTGGTAAACAATATGAGCTGCCTGCATTAATGGTTGTTTGCACAGGCAATTAGTGTTATATGTATCATCATGATATGTTGATAAATAAACTTATTGAGAAACAAAAATGATTTTGGTATTTGATTAGGTTTTAGTCATAGCTTTGTTAGTCACACTTTGTTGTTTGTTTGTTTTTTTCAATATTGCTACATGATTATCTAAAAACTAAATGTTTATTAAAGATAACTGATTTTAATAAAGAAAAAATACAAAAAATGTTTATGTATAAGGTTTCATCCATTTTAAAAATTTACAAATTTTAGAAGTTCTTACCAAGCTCTTACACTTGTCTCAGGTTGATATTTTTAGTCATTTATTTTAGTCTTTAGGTAGAAATTTTTATTTTATTGAAACACTCTAATCTATATATGTATAATATATGAAACATAATAATTTAAAAATATCTTCTTTTTTTTTTTTAGTTGATTATTAATATTTAATTTTAAAATGAATAATCTTTTACTTACTCTAAAATTACTTTTGTGCTTTGTTACTCTTCAATAAAATTTGAATCAATAGTGTTATAATATAAAAATGCAAAGATATTTGCCATAATATAAAAGTTATATTATTATTATTATTATTATTATTATTATTATTATTATTGCAGTTAATTCCCAGTAAGTTGAATACTGGTAACTTGAACTTTCATTATCTTGAGCTGTTTTATTTGGTCCTTTGAAATTGTCTATTCGATTACTATTAAAATTCTGCATTTAATTCGAACCTCGAATAACTTGAGTTGAAACATTTTTTCATCCCTTTTCAGCAAATTTCTTCAGACAACTCGAACTTTTTGTATTGGAATCAAATATATTGACATTTTTTTTTAAAAAAAAAAAAAAAGCAACTCCATATAAAACATAAACAAATATAACAATAAGTTTGTTATTTTTTTTTTGTTGTTGTTGTATTTATATCTGAATAGAATAGATCATTATCAGACAAAAAACTATGCTATAATAAAACTCTTAAAATGTAAACCATCATAAAGTTGTGAAAAAAACAATTATTTTATAGTTTAATAAGTTTCTATATAGAAGAATGCTATTTTTTAAACGCAATTTTAATACCAAATAGTAAGAAAGTAATTTTGTTGCTTTTTGAATGTTTGTTATTTTACTGCACTGCAAGAATACAATCTGTAACTCCTTTCATTGAAAATTTACTATAATGGTGTAAATTAAATGTATACACTTCACCATTGAATAAGGAAAAATTGCTATAACTCGAACTAATATCTTATAACTCGACCTAATATCTTATAACTCGACCTAATATCTTATAACTCAACCTAATATCTTATAACTCAACCTAATATCTTATAACTCTAACTAATATCTTAAGATATTATATCTTAAGATATTATATCTTAAAATAAAAGTTTGACTGAACAGAAGTTTACTTTAGTTGAACATTCATTAAGTTGAATTATTTTACTTGGTCCCTTGGAGGTTAGAGTTATCGGGAATTAACTGTATTGTTATTAATAATACTATTGTTATTATTATTATTATTATTGTTATTATGTTTATTATATATATATTTCTGTTTTTGTCAGCGTTGACCGTATTTGGGCGCTGCCCAAATTAAAATTTGAGGACCTTTTTTTTTTTAACATATTTTTTTACGGCAAATAATTTTTGCAAAAAAACCGCCGATTTTACATTTAAGTTCGTTGGATAAACCATTTATTATAATAACTATTATAATAGAAAAATACAAAAATATAATATATTTTACAATATAATAAGATTTATTTTCAATTTTGATATTTTTTAATTTTGATATTGTTTACTGTGAAATGCTTTTATGTAACATAATTTTATATGTAAAATTGTTAGCATTATCCTGAAAACTGTTACTATGAAGGTAAAATTCGTGGAATAAAAGATTCAAATGTTTTCATCAGTACTTGTAGCGGTGGATTAATGTATGTACCATCATTTATTTTAAATTTTATATAAAATACATCACTATGCATTTTAATAGTAGTGGTGCTATTAAGAAAATATATTTGAAAAATACTTTTTATAAATATGTTTGATTTAAATTTTTTTTTAGAGGAACAATTGATAATGGCAAATCAAGGTACGACATAATGCCACAGGTAAACTTTATTGTTAATTGTGTTTGTAAAAAAATATAAGCATAGTTTTCCAAGATGAAGGGGAAAAGGAAAGACATATAAGTACTTTTTTAAACTTTTTTCATGTTTTCTAAATTCTCTCACGTTTCTCGCACTTTTTCTTAACTCTATAAAGTTAACAAAGCAAAGTTTTAAAAATAGCAACCTCATAAAAGCAATCTGTAGTATATTTCTTTTGCAGATGAAATGAGAGTTGATGAGACTTGCTGCAGATGAGATGAGAGTTGTTAGGACCAATACTATTTACGTTTATTTTTCATGAAAATATTTTAAAACCTTCTATATCGTTTCTATGATTTTTTCATCAAGGTTAATGGAAATGGTCATAATTTTCACAATGTTAATGATCTTGTTAAAAAGACTTTAAAGCAACTGAAAAAGAAAGTTGAAAGTAAACTTATTTTTGAATTTTATTTATTTTTGATTAAATTTTACAAAACTAGAAACTATTACTTTGATTAGATACTTTTAAAACACATGTTCTACGAGAATTCTAATAAAGTTTTAAAGAACATATGTTCTACGAGAATTCTAATAAAGTTTTAAAGAACATATGTTCTATGAGAATTCTAATAAAGTTTTAAAGAACATATGTTCTACGAGAATTCTAATAAAGTTTTAAAGAACATATGTTCTATGAGAATTCTAATAAAGTTTTAAAGAACATATGTTCTACAAGAATTCTAATAAAGTTTTAAAGAACATATGTTCTACGAGAATTCTAATAAAGTTTTAAAGAACATATGTTCTATGAGAATTCTAATAAAGTTTTAAAGAACATATGTTCTACGAGAATTCTAATAAAGTTTTAAAGAACATATGTTCTACGAGAATTCTAATAAAGTTTTAAAGAACATATGTTCTATGAGAATTCTAATAAAGTTTTAAAGAACATATGTTCTATGAGAATTCTAATAAAGTTTTAAAGAACATATGTTCTACAAGAATTCTAATAAAGTTTTAAAGAACATATGTTCTACGAGAATTCTAATAAAGTTTTAAAGAACATATGTTCTATGAGAATTCTAATAAAGTTTTAAAGAACATATGTTCTACGAGAATTCTAATAAAGTTTTAAAGAACATATGTTCTACGAGAATTCTAATAAAGTTTTAAAGAACATATGTTCTATGAGAATTCTAATAAAGTTTTAAAGAACACATGTTCTACGAGAATTCTAATAAAGTTTTAAAGAACATATGTTCTATGAGAATTCTAATAAAGTTTTAAAGAACATATGTTCTATGAGAATTCTAATAAAGTTTTAAAGAACATATGTTCTATGAGAATTCTAATAAAGTTTTAAAGAACACATGTTCTACGAGAATTCTAATAAAGTTTTAAAGAACATATGTTCTATGAGAATTCTAATAAAGTTTTAAAGAACATATGTTCTACGAGAATTCTAATAAAGTTTTAAAGAACACATGTTCTACGAGAATTCTAATAAAGTTTTAAAGAACATATGTTCTACGAGAATTCTAATAAAGTTTTAAAGAAGCATTAATGTTTTTGAAATTGTTATACAATTTCAAATTAGAAAATTTATTGTAAATTGGCTATAGCTAATTTTGTGTATACATAACAAAAATGTTATATACATATATATATATATATATATATATATATATATATATATATATATATATATATATATATATATATATATATATATATATATATATATATATATATATATACATATATATATATATATATATATATATATATATACTATATATATATATATATATATATATATATATATATATATATATATATATATATATATATATATATATATATATACATATATATGTATATAAATCAGGGTGTTAGCCGGAAATGTATTTTTTATTACATTTTTGTGATATTGGGAGTATTTATTGTTATTTTTTTTCAAAATATTGGGAATTTTTTTGTTATTGTCTTATTACTTTTAACTATTGTACTATTAATTATAGTACAAATTAGCTATAGCTACTTCCATACAATATATAGCTACTTCCATACAATATATAGCTACTTCCATACAATATATAGCTACTTCCGTAGAAATTAATTAATTACTGTAGAAGTTTTAATAGAATTCCTACTGACTATTTTTTAAAACTGTATAAAAAATCGAACAAACCTTTTGTTCTGGTATAGTTTTAGCACTATTTTTTTATATATATACATTATAAAATTGTAATAATAATAATCTTATTAATTTTACCATTAGTTTTTAATATTAACCAGAGTATTTTCACTAGTATTGCCATAGAACTCACTTGATCAAAGTTCTAAAGGAAATCTAGACTCTAATATTTCTATGAGATTTCATGTGTTGCTTACAAACAAGTTAATTACCTAGAATTGCCTGTATGACCTGATTATAACTTTGCAAATGGTATAAGGCCCTTCATTATTAGTCAAGAAAGTATGCTTTTTGATAACAAAAGCATTGAAGAATGGTATGATTTGTTGGCTTAACTTTATCAGTGGTTTGTGGTCATAAAATTCATGTTTTGAGTCAATGCTATCCCTCATCTACGTAAACAATATGTCTAGTCTAATTAGTTACAAAAGTTTACAAACCAACCAAGTAGTTGACTAGACTGAACTTTTATGAAGATTAATACAAATGCATATTTTTAAACAAGGGTTACCACAATTCAGCCTCTGTTGACAAATTTCAAGTTTATTGCTTTCATTTAGTCATGACAGATATAACAGGTATTTTACATGTTTATGAATAGTTTGAAATAGAGTAATCTTACTGCTATGATGGTTCACAAATAAAATAGCTGTGGCACAATCAGGAAATTTAAGCTATTTCAAACTCAAATGCTACTTTAGGTATTCTTAAATGTGCATTTGAAATTCAAACATTTCACAATATTTACTGCACATAGATGAAACTTCATCTGAATTATTGGTCAACAACATAAGAACTCTGATAAAAAGCATAAATGCTCTTGAAACAATCCAAAATTAAACAAAAAATTAGTCTCATGCATTTGATCTATGAAAAGCTAAATGTTACTCTTTTCTTTAGCTACAATTGTTTGTAAATCAACATTTAATTTAGTACTAAAAGATATATCACAACATAAATCATGTCAAATGGATTAAGTGGGCATTTTTGTTTCTTTTGTGACTGAACCATATCACAGCACACATTATTTATTGAATGATTAAATTGTTTTAACAATAGTTTTGTATAAAAGTATCATACTAATCAAACCATTCAAAAAGATTACAAAAATAACTAGCTTAGGTATATCTTGCATTTTTGAGAAGTTTCAGAAGTTGCTATAGATAGATATAGCACAAATAACTCCAAACTTATCAAAAATGATATCTTTACTACAACCTGAACTTAAAGCAAGGTTTAACTTTAATGGAAATACTAATTATAAGGTTGCTTTTTTTGCTAATGCATGTTCCAAAAAGTAATTTCCTAGGATTTGTTAAAATACATCAAGCAAAACAAAACAAAATTATAATGCTTTAAAAAAGATTGTGATGTGTGACACATCACCATCGTTCTTTCAGTGAAAGGTTAAGTCAATGAAAAGCTAATCATCAGTGAAAGGCTGCTTAGCACTGATGAACTATCACCTAGTTTCTAGTGGCACCTGTGATAATTCATCTTCACTTTGTAAGGAAAAGAAACATAAATGAAAATGATCAAACTAATCTCTACAGAAATTTGGGCACATATGAAGAAGAAAAAAAAAAAAGTCCAATTGCAAATGAAATAAATTTTTACATGAAACCGCTTGCCTAAATTAGACATTAAACCTTTGCAAGTGGTGGTCAGCAAGCACAAAATATTATTCTAACAGAACTTTTTGAAATTTTTGTATTATTTGCTTGTGACAGTGGGCATAGTGAATGGATATTTTTGGAAGTATATTTAAATTATGAGAAAAAGTAATTTGTTATTATCAAGTAATAAAAATATTTTCATTGTACTTAACACTTAACACTGATAGATTTTAAGTATCAAATATGATACATGAAAAAAGATAACAAAAATAGCTATATATAGTCCTTTTTAAAACATTTTGTTACAAACTGGTATTCTATATAAATAGTAAAAATGTGGACAAATAGTTGAATACCAAATAGTCGCAGAATATTTGTGGGATTTCTAGTATTTTAGTAATTATAATAAAATCGTTACATATAATATCTTGAGAATGAAACATATAATTAGATTTTTGTAAATGTTTAAACCCTTATTTAACCATGTTAGAAACATGTATGATGAAATTTAAATTTTATTTTATAAAATACTTCGTAACATATATAATAACACCTTATTATTCCAAAGTCAATCTTTTCATTGCTCACTTTTTTCTATATATTTTTGGGAAGAAAACCCAGCAAACATTTTCAGAGTGTTAGCCAGGAATATATTTTTTTACCATGTTTTTGTGATATAGGGAATATTTTTTTTTATTGTTTTACAAAGTATTGGGAATTTTTATTAAAATTGTCCTATTCCTTCACAAAAAAAAAGGTCATTGATTTTTTGGAATTTTAAACTCATTGGGAATTCCACGTTGTATGTTGTGCCATTGGGCTGGCTAACACCCTGATTCTATAATGGAATTTCAGTGGACCTATATAAGCATTTTAAATGGTCCAATGGAATTTTACTTATTTGCCAAAAGTGGCTAGCTGATGACTGGCCACTATTAACATGTTGGAAAGTTATTGGCTTGCAATTTATAGTGGCTGCCACTAATGCTCCACTAAGAAACCAATGAGCAAAACTCCAATGAATTGCTAAAAAATGCCTATATAGGTCAAAAAATGCCTATATAGGCAATTGGTGAGTTAATTAAGTTAACCCATAATTTAAGTATACTCATTAAAACAATATTTGCTGGGAAGGGCAGTCTAAAAGCAAGGTCTTGAAAGGAGGTTCAGAAAATTTATTTTGTTAATTACTAAGCAGTAGCATATTCCTAATAATTAATTTGTACAAAGTTTTTGCAATATAAAGCTTTTAGAAATTTAGGAATCTAAACTTTTAAAAAATTATGTTTTTTTTTAATTTTTGATGAGAAATTTAACTTCTCATCTTTTTTCTACAAACAAATTTTAAGATTTTGAGATCAAAAATTCTTTAGTTCACTTTTATTAATCTGCCACAATTAAGATATGTAAAAGTCAAAATTTTTTATTTATGTATTTATAATTTATCATATTTGCATTGTTATTTTTAACTTTCTTTTAGCTAATATTAAACAAGAAAAGAGTTACAAGAAAAAAAGAAGTATTTCCTTTTCAGTTGTAAGTGTATCACTTTGTTACTTTTTTAAGTTTGTATTGTGTGTTTTTAAATAATAAGTTTGTTATTATCTTTATGTTAAATAAAAGTTATATTTTAATTATTTTATTGTTTCTAAGGAATCAATTAAACTACAGTTTTATTATTTCTTCAGAGACCAATTGATCTATAGTTTTATTGTTTTTTCTAATACCGGTTGAATTTTAGTTTTATTGTTTCTCCAGGGACCAATTGAATTTTTGTTTTATTATTTTTTTAAGGGAACAGTTGATTTAGTCAATGTTGAGCCACAGTATCTACCTTATATTACTAAAAATGAAACACTGTATGTTGAAATGTTTGTTAGCTGCGATCACAGAATGGTAAATATTTTAAATTTGAATTTGAATGAAGTAATTTACAATAAAAAAGAGAGTGGGTTAGTTTGTAGTTATAAACAATGATTTTTTTTCAATAAAATTCTTCAAAAATTGCTGTGCAAACAAACTCATTAAAATAATATCAGACTCATAAAAATAAGATTTTTTTAAGATTTTAAAAAATTTAAGAATTAAATTTAAATTATATACAACTATATAAAATCTAATAAAAACTATACTAATAAAGTCTATGCTAAAAAATCTAATAAAAACTACACTAATAAAGTTATATGCTAAAAAAATTATATCACTAAAATCTATGCTATAATAATACTTATAAACTAAACAAACTTAAAATATTATTATAAAATAAAAAATCAATTTATAAATACCATTTTTATGTTTGGATTGTAACTATCACAACTCTTTATCTATTAGTTAGAATTTGCAAAGTTTGATGTTGATAGCCAAATTTTAGACTTTTTTTAAAGAAATCAAAAAAATAGATTTTTTTGTAACTTAAGTTTTTAAATGCAATTTCAAATACAAAGTTATAAATTAAATTTTTTTTAATTATAATAAAATTATTTAATTTATTTTTTTAAATTTTCAAGATTTTTTTTAAACTATTATCTTTATTCTAGTTACCTACATATAACAATAATCGTTCTCTATTGATTGAAAGAGTCTTAAATGCATATGCTCAAGTTGACAAGGTTTGTTTTATGTAAACTATGTATGTAAATATAATACATATAAAAACATATAATTCACAAAATAAATATATGTGATCTTGATGTAAAGAGAAGTGCAGAAAAACTGTTACAAATGCTTAAACCAATTTCTGTTGCATTAGGGATGCAACAGAAATTGGTTTAAGCATTTGTAACAAATGTAAAAAACCTGATGCAGAGGGACAGTTTTATTATTGGCAACAGCATAGTGATATGAAAAACCTTCAAAAACAATGAACATATTAGCTTATCATAGATTGCCATTCTTTGAACTTTTTTAACAGATGCTATGACATTTTTCTTTGCTGGATTTCAGACTGCAATATTTAAGAAAGGGTTAAACAAATACTTTGTGTGGTATTTTAGTAATTAAGTCCACCACTAACTTGACACTAGACTATATATATATATATATATATATATATATATATATATATATATATATATATATATATATATATATATATATATATATATATATATATATATATATATATATATATTGCTATTGGGTTTTTGTTGGTATTCAGATTGCCATATTTATCTTGTAATAAGTTGATACTTGAATTTGATTTTTGTTTAAATTTAACATATGAAAAAGGTGTTTATGCTAATTTTTTATTTTATTAACCCAAAATAATTCAGACTGCATTTTTGCATTTTTAATATGCTTAGATAATTTTATTCATACTTTTTGGTATTCTATTTTTCTTTCATAATGCTTCCTGTTATGTTAGACATCTTAGTTGCTATACAAAATTTATACTATGCACAATGTTTATATTGAATGAGTTTTTTTGTATATGAGTCAAACCATTTTGGTGGTGTTATTGTTTGCCTGTTTAGTGTTTTGATTGGAACATATTATTATATTTCAATACAATATTAGAATATAGTATTCTTCATATACCAATAAAAAAAGTATCATAGCAGAGTTGAATAGAATTATGTGGTTTGAGTATTTGTGCCCAAATGTACTGCAATACATAAGCTCAAATTATATATATATATTTATATATATATATATATATTATATATATATATATATATATATATATATATATATATATGTATATATATATATATATATATATATATATATATATATATATATATATATATATATATAAATATTTATATATATTGGTTGTTTGTGTATTATATTATATTAAAACAATACTAAAACTCTTGTATGAAAAAAAGTGCTCAATATTACAATAATACAATAATAGAGCAATAAATATTAAAATTTTGAGAAAAAAGTAATTTTTAATCTATTATAAATGAAAAAAAGGTGAAGTTAGCTTGTGTTTGACTTACTGGGAATTAACTATGCATATATATATATATATATATATATATATATATATATATATATATATATATATATATATATATATATACATATATGTATTAAACATCTTTGCTTCCAACAAGGCTGCAAGCAACCACTAATTAGTGTTGGAAGTTACTGGAAGAGAAAAGATGAAGATTGTTGAGCAAGATAACGATTGACAGACGACTTGAAAGATTGCAACTTAAATGAATCAGGAAAGCAAGATGAAGAAAGCTAATTCCAAAGAACTGATGTTCGAGGAAAAAAACTAGAAGAATAAGAGTTTTTGGAGCACTTAGGAACAGTAACAGAAATAGGGTGAGACAATTGAATGACGAGTAACACGAGAATGAATTTTAGCAGATGGCACAAGAGACGCTAGCTCTTTAGAGCAGTGCCCATTATAGTATTTGTAGAAAAGAGAAAAAGAAGCAAACATTATGACAATGTGACAGAGGTTGAAGGTTGGCTGCAAGAGCAGGTCCAACTATGTTTACAATGTATTTTTGCACCTTGTCTGAAAAAGAAAGGGCATCATTACAAGATCCGCCCCAGATATAGCAACAGTATTCCATACAAGGCCGGATTTCAGATTTATAGAGATGGAGAATAGAATCCAGAGTAAGAAAACGTCGAGCTCGATAAAGAGATGCAACTTTAGCAGATGCTAATTTTGCAACGGATTTGATATTTCCAAGAAAGATCAGAAGTAAGAGTTATTCCCAGAAGATGAAGAGTAGGAGACTCATCGAGTACAATACCATTCAAAAATATAGGAAGGTCTAAATTATTGAGATAACGATTGGCTGAAAAAAATTGAGTTTTATCTGAATTAAAGTTCACCAGCCACTGTGAGCCCCATGCTGTAGCAGAAGTGAGATCCTTTTCAAGCTCAGATGCCCACTGCAAGCAATCATAGGGAGTTGGCTTCTTATCGTGACAAGAATAAATGGTAATATCATCAGCGAACAATGCCACCTTAGATGTGAGAGTATCTTGAAGATTGTTAATGTAAATTAAAAAGAGTATAGGGCCAAGGATTAAACCTTGGGGAACCCCTGAGGTTACAGAATAAGAAGAAGAGTGCTTTTCCATCAAGGACAACTTTTATACTACGATTGGAAAGGAAGGATTCAATAATCTTAAAGATGTTTTCAGATACACCGTAAGAAGAAAGCTTATGGAGAAGACCAGCATGCCAAACTTTATCAAACGCTTTAGAAATATCAAGAGCGATGACCTTAACCTCTCCACCTTTATCTAATGCGCGATAAAACTTATCGGTTATTACTGATAGCAAATCAGCCGTAGAACAAGAAGCTCAAAATCCATATTGATGATCAAAAAGTAGGTTATGTGATTCGAGATGAGAGATTAAGTGTTTGTTAATTAAAGATTCGAAAACCTTGCTTATGATAGGAAGAAGACTAATGGGACGGTAGTTAGAGGAATCGGATTGCTCTCCAGAATTTTTAAAAATAGAGATAACAGATCCTTTGCAGCACAATGTGAGGAAAACCATGGAGAAGAGTGAGGCTTGACCTGGAATCGTCAAGAGGGAATAAAGGATTCCATGCCAGCCTAAATCCACAAAGTTATGTAAGAAGCACATTTGTCAATAGGAAAATAAAAGATTTCTACCCAGGGGCCATCACAAAGAAAATCACGGAAAGAGTCCCAGTCAGCTTTAAGGTAGTTGTAAGATGTACAATGATAGGGGGATTCTGATGATAAAGAAGAATGAGATAATAGTTTTAAAAAGACCAACCGTGATCGGAAGCACCTAAGGGTGAGTGTGGAGAAACTGAGCACTGACTAGGATCAGAAACAAGACATAAGTCGAGTAGAGAAGGTAAATGATTGGGTTGTCTGGAAAGTTGACTATTTGAGTTAGGGATTGAGAAAGGCAAAAGTTGTGGGCCTTAATGCCTGCATAGTCACTGACACTAGAGCCAAGCCATTCAGTGTGATGAGCATTAAAGTCACCGACAACAACAATATTGGCTGATGGATAAAGAATGAGGGATTGGTCAATATAATCAGAAATAACATCAAGAAGAGTGCAGTCTTGAGATGAAGGAGACCAATATAGAACAAAGAGAAAGGTGATAGAATGAAGTGGTGCTAAACGAATATATATATATATATATATATATATATATATATATATATATATATATATATATTTATATATATATATATATATATATATATATATATATATATATATATATATATATATATATATATATATATATATATATATATATATATATATATATATATATATAAATATATATATATATATATAAATATATATATACAAATATATACAACCCTTGGAATTAGGTGATGTCGGCAATGAAAATGATGTCGGCAAATTATTGCCGAACTCAATCCTTTTGAGGTCCGCATCAGGTTGGAAAAAAATTATTTGATACAAAGGTCTGACCACAAAACATGGAAACAATATATATATATATATATATATATATATATATATATATATAATATACATATATATATATATATATATATATATATATATATATATATATGTATATATATATATATATATATATATATATATATATATATGTATATATATATATATATATATATATATATGCATATATATATATATATATATATATATATATATATATATATATATATATATATATATATGTATATATATATATATATATATATACATGTACATATATGTATAAATATATTTATATATATATATTTGTATATATACATATTTATATATAAATTTATATATATATATATATATATATATATATATATATATATATATATATATGTATATATATATATATATATATATACATATATATATATATATATATATATATATATATATATATATATATATATATATATATATATATATATATATAAATTTATATATAAATATGTATATATACAAAGATATATATATAAATATATTTATACATATATGTACATGTATATATATATATATATATATATACATATATATATATATATATATATATATATATATATATATATATATATATATATGTATATATGTGCATTATATGCATGTATTTATAATGGTAAATGTGTTAAAAAGAAATTAACATTATTAAACCAAAATGTTATGTCTGAGTTATAAAATAGTCATAAAAGTTGTATTCTTTTAATATTTTCAAAAGATAAACATGCCTAAGTGCATGTTTTTATTTTGTTTTTCAACATTTTTCCATTTTAAAAAGTTATTTATTTCTAAATAAAAATAGATCTTTTGTTTTCAGGTTTTCATTATATTTTTATGTTTTTATTATGTTAATGTAATATAAAAATTTCATTGTTCATTCTTTTTTTTACTGTGTAACATTTAAAAAAAAATCAATTTAAACTATTGTTTTTTTAGGCATATCAAGCCATTAATGTACGTATAGTAGTTGTTGCAATTGATATCCAGGAAAATCAACCTGCATTTACACGTTTTACAACAGGTGGAGCTGAATTACGCTCATTTAGAGATTATGTTAACAACGTGATAAAAAAAACTTCATCTTTTAAAGATGTTGATTTTGATGATGCCATGTTTTTAAGGTGATTATTAAGTATTAAGTAGATGGTTTTTAGATTTATTACAAAAAGGTTCTGTTAATAGGGAGTAAATTCGGGACACAACTTATCCTATCCTGTCTGACACAGCTTTGTAACTTTTAAAATCCCAAAAAATTTTAAGCTTTTCAATGCCATGTTTCTGTTTTAGATACCATAAAAAATATGGATTGTGATCTAATGCTGGTTTACAATTTATGAAATAAGTATAGGCCCTATTTTTGTTATATTTAACAGGTCTGGATTCCATGATGCCTAACACAGCTATAATTTATTAACCACTCTGGTGACTAAACTTAATTAATTTTAATCTAGTAAATTTGAAACAAGTTTTATAGTATAGACTATAAGATTATAATATAAAAAAGACCAGCATGCTAAACCTTATCAGAAATTTTGATATGTCAAAAACAATAGCTTTTGCCTTGCCACCTCTATCTAATGCACAATAAAATCTTTCAGTTACAACAGTCAACAAGTCAGCATAGAATGAGAAAATCAAAATCCATATTGATTTTTAGACTTAAGATGACATGTTGGAAATTAGTTGATTAAAGACTCAACGTTCTAACTAGCAATAAGGAAAAAATTGATTGGTCAATAGTTGGTGGGATTACAGTGATTGGTCAATAGTTGGTGGGATTACAGTGATTGGTCAATAGTTGATGGGATTACAGTGATTGGTCAATAGTTGGTGGGATTACAGTGATTGGTCAATAGTTGGTGAGATTACAGTGTTCTCCAGAGTTTATAAAAATTGAAACCACAGGTACCATTTTTTAACTGGCAGGAAAAAAATATCATTGAACTAATGAAAAGTTACTTGAAAAAGACCATGAATATTTAAAAAATGTAGATTGAAACAGTTAAATGGTGATTGGTTTAGTATGTTTAATATTTTTATGTACTTTATTCATTTTTTAAGGTTAAGAGAACTTGACTCAATCACAGATAGAGAAAGGCACCCTTAAGCAATAAGCTATGCAATATGCCTCAGACTTACTAGTTAACCAAAAGTTGTAACTAAGGGCTCTTATTTTACACCTGTTAATGGAATTAACCTCTTTGAGAGCTACCACAGAATTAATAAAACCTTATTACCAGCCGCCCTCAGAACCATTAAACTTTTTAGAGTTTTAGAGCTGTATTCTTATGAGGAGATAACATGAAGAGTTGCATAACCACTATCAAGGTAGATTTAGGAAGAACTAGGATTCACTATTCTAAGCGGGAAGTAATGTAACTCAGGTTTTCATCTGTTAGCCTAATACAAAAAGAAGAAATGCAAAGTTGGTCAACATAATTATTCTGCTTACCCCTGCTGTATATAGTTAACATCTGTCCAAAATGAGTATCTTTATTGAGATACTACCTCTAGCTTTACTCAACCAAGATCGTCAAGGCAGGACAGTTTTAAGTCAGAGTTTATTCCTCTTAAGACTTTGCCTAGAAAAGTGAATCAAAGCAGCAGGACATAGGGCAAGTAGTTCTAGATTAAATGTTACCTGTAGCAGGGTGATTGTGATGATCCTGAACCTATACACAGATACAAAATGTATATAAATGAAAAAAAAAACAAGAAATGTAAGGTTCATTTTTTAAACTGCAGTAGCAGATTGCTTGCCAAACCAAAAACTTAAGAACCCATTTCTCAGTTTGAATATACTTAAATTTGTTGGCTACATTTCAACCTTTCAACTGACAAAAATATTACTGGCCTCTGTAAAATGTTCTTTTTGCAATAGGTTTTATTTATTTTTATTAGTTTCTTTAATTAGGGAGTTTTCTCAATTTAAAAGTTTATATATCTTTTTTGAACAGCAAACTGTTTAAATCTCTCCTTCAATGGATTGCAGTGATGTTTTTTAATTTATATCATTTAATTACTCCAACATTCAAAAAGGGATTTGCAGCTAGTTTTGCGGTGCAAAACAACTCAATCTTTTGATTGAATTGTGGTTTTTCATGTCCACTCTAGTTGACAACAGGTTTATTTGATTTTTGTTTGTAGTCTTTTCTAAAAATGATCGTATCAACCTTATCTTTTTTTTTCTTTTTTTTTTCAATATATTTTTCTGCATTTGAATCCTTTTGATAAAACTTAACAGCATTCTCTGTATTTCAATTATCTTTATCTTAAAAATTTCTCCCCTCCCAAAAAAAAATTGTTAACGTTCTTCAATATTTTTATATTTTGAGAGATCAAGTTATCTCACCATTTAAATTTGAGTTAAACATAGCATTAATATTTTAAAAAAAAATAGCATTATTATTTAAAAAAAAAACTCTTAAATTCAAACATATTAACATGATTAAACTTCAAAAATAAACTAGCCAAATTAATGTATTTAAGCAAAATGGTAAAAATTGATTAGAAATAAGTGATTTAATCATTCCTTATTATGTAGAGCTGTAAAGTAAGAACTTATCTTTGTAAACTTTACAATTATAGAAATAATTATTTAAGCTTACTCTCTTGAGAACAAACGACTATTTATTATTGCAAGAAATTGATGTAAAAAGGTGGTTTCTGATGCTAAACTAAATCTCGCATCTTATCGCAGAAGTTAGGCTCTAAAGACTTTTAAAAAATCTTCAACAGCATTATTAACAAGGGTAGATCTAACATTCCATCTCTCATTCATGGGACTGATCTTATTATCTCTCCCAAGAATAAGGCAGAACTATTTGCAAAGTACTTTTCTTCTAATTCCACTCTTGAATCTTATGGACATTCTCTTCCTTCCATTCCAGTTAAACAGGTTGACCCATTGTTAGACATTCAAATCACTCCGGCTTCTGTTGCTAAAGTTATATCTCAATTGAACTCGTCTACAGCTTGTGGTCCAGACAACATTCCTGTCACAGTCTTGCAGAATTGTTTTCCAGAACTTTGTTCAATTCTCTCTAAACTATTTAACAAGTGTTTGACTGAGTCTTGTTTTCCTGCCTTTTGGAAAATGACATCTGTGGTTCCATTATTCAAAAACTCTGGAGAAAATTCTGACCCCTCCAATTATCGTCCGATCAGTCTTCTTTCTGTTATTAGCAAGGTCTTTGAGTCTTTGATCAACAAATTCCTCACATCTTATCTTGAGTCAAATAAACTACTGTCAGACAATCAATACGGTTTTCGATCCCCTCGCTCTACGGCCGACTTGCTAACTGCTGTAACTGGAAGATTTTATCGTGCATTATATGGAGGAGGTGAGGCTAGGGCTATTGCTCTCGACATATCTAAAGCTTTCGACAAAGTTTGGCATGCTGGTCTTCTCCATAAGCTTGCTTCATATGGTGTTTCTGGGAAAGTTTTTGAGATTATCAAATCATTTCTTTCTAACCGGTTTATTAAAGTCATCCTTGAAGGCCAACACTCTTCTTTATTTCCAGTAACTTCTGGGGTTCCCCAAGGCTCCATCCTGGGCCCTGTTTTGTTTCTTATCTACATAAACGATCTTCTTGACAACCTTTCATCTAAAGTAGCTCTTTTTGCTGATGACTCAACTTTATACTCCTGTCTTGACAAAAAGTCTTCTCTTTTCGATCGCCTAGAACAAGCAGCTGATCTTGAATCCGATCTCACTTCAGTAATAGATTGGGGTTCACAGTGGCTTGTGAATTTCAACTCTAACAAAACCCAGTTGTTTACTGCAAACAACTACCGTAATATAGTCAACATTCCTATATTAATGAATGGCAATCCTCTTACTGAGTCGTCCTCTTTACATCTTCTTGGATTATCGCTTACTACTGACCTTTCATGGAAACCATATATACAATCGATTGCTAAATTAGCTTCTGCTAAGGTTGCTTCTCTTTATCGTGCTCATCATTTCCTTACTTCTGATTCCATTCTCTACCTCTACAAATCTCTTATTGGTCCCTGTATGGAATACTGTTGTCATATTTGGGCTGGTTCTTCTAACGATTCACTTTCTCTTCTTGACAAGGTCCAAAAACGTAAATGTATTGTAAATGTTGTTGGACCTGGACTATCTGCTAAGCTTGAGCCTCTTTCCCATCTTTGTAAAGTTGCATCTCTTTCTCTTTTCTACAAATATCTTCATGATCACTGCTCAAAGGAGTTATCATCTCTAGTTCCATCAATTAAAATTCATTCTCGTTTTACTCGTCATTCAGCAAAGTCTCATTCGTTTACTGTATCTGTCCCTGCATGCTCTAAAAACTTTTATTCATCTAGTTTTTTTCCCCGCACTTCAATCCTTTGGAACTCTCTCCCATCTTCATGTTTTCCTGACTCATACAACCTTCAACTTTTCAAGTCTTCTGTCAACCGTTTCCTTGCTCTATAACTCTGTTCATTTTTTTCCTAGTAACTCCCAACTTAATAGTGGTTGCTTGCAGCCTTGTTGGGAGTGAATGCAAATAAAAAAAAAAAAAAAAGCAAAAAATATATTTTTGTCAAAATAAATGTTAGCAAGTTGTTTTTACTTTTTTTAGTGATCTTATATTTTAATGTACTTAAAAAGGGTTTTATAATTTTATCACAGAGTATTGTGAAGTATCTCTTGCTAGTTTTCTCATGATAGAGTTATTAGGTCATACCAGGTATTCAATCACAGACTTATTAATTTTGAAGTCAGCAGTCTAGCCGCTTGAACCATGATGTTTGGGGCTTTTTTTCATTAAAAAGAAAAAAACAAGAAAACTTAAAGGTTATTCTGAAAACAAAAATTACATTAATTCTTAACATTAAGTATTAACAAGTTTTGAATATAAAATCAGCTTTCCTTCAGTAACCAAATAATGTGTCCAAATGTTTATAGACTTGATTACCTCAAATGTATATATATATATATATATATATATATATATATATATATATATATATATATATATATATATATATATATATATATATATATATATATATATATATATATATATATATATATATATATATATATAATAAATTTAATAACAAAGTTTGTTAGCCTATACTTGCCATTTTTCAAAATTTTCAAAAATTTTTTAAATACTGTTGATTTTGCAGTCATGAAGGTTGGACAGATTGCGCTGGAATGGCTTGGGTGAACTCCATGTGTAGTGAAAATGCTAACAGTGTTAATGCAGTAAAGTTTTAATTTTTTTGTTGTTAAATAAAAAATGCTGTAATATTGATATTATTCATTGGTATTTATTTATTTTAAGATTAAGTTTTTAAAAAATTTAACTATTTAAACACAGTGGGATTATAACAGCATAAGTGGCCCAATAGTTGTGCTGGGTCATGAATTTGGACACAATATGGGATTTAGTCACGATGAAGGTATGTGTGTTAGTGAAATTATGTCATTTTTTTACTGTATTACAACGGTATTATATAAATTAACAGACATGTATAATAGAAGCTTAAAAATGTAACATAATGTATAATAGAAGTTTAGAAATGTAACATCATTTTCCTAATCTTTTTCAGTATTTGTGTACAAATGTTGTGATTTATTGCGTGAGGTCTGCTTTATCTTTTTACGCTTATATCAGCTATAACTTAGGGGATGACAGCAATCCAAAAGTTTTTGTAGAAAATGAGATATTTTTAGTCTAATTTATTTTAAATCATATAAAATTGGTGTGAATGCATTTATTTTATCTAACATTCATTGTTAATACTTTGAACTTAGAGTCAATTTATTAACTTGGATACTTTTTAATATCTTATAGTAAATAAAAAATCAAAAAAATGATGAAGATGGCACTTCTATTGTAAATGTATTAAGACTATCTCAGTCAGTATAATTTACACATTAAAAAAGTTCTTTTAGTACTGGAAGTATAATTATAGAACAAAGACTCCTTTGAATCTTTGGACTTTTTTTAATTCTTAATTAAATTCCATTACATCAGTTAGAGATGATTAAAATCAACTGACAAACAAAGTCAAAAACATTGTAGTGGTCAATAGAATCCTTTATATTCAATGTAAAAGCCGAGAAAACCTTTTTGTGCTCTTACAAAATGCCAAGTGGTGATTACAATAAGTAAAATGAAATTGTACTATTTTCAATACCACTCTCTACTAGCTCATAATGCATAAATGTTAAAAAATAATCACTTTAGTGTGTTTATGTTACTATTGAACAAAAGCAAATAGGAAACTGAGTATAAATTGATACATTTCATATCGTGCGTTACATTATGTAAAAATTTTTTATTTTTGTTGTCATTAGGTTTTTTTAACTGGTTTTTTTAACTTGTTTTTTTATATTTTTTAACTTGTTTTTCCAAAATTAGAAAATAGTTGTTAATACACAAAGCTTTTGTATACAAAACAACACTATTATTTAATTTGTGTGTTTGTTACTGGCGCATAAATAATAACAAATTAGCTTTCAAAAGAAATTATTAAACTTAAATGGTATAAAGAGTTTGTTTGCATCCAGAAGATGCATTTAAATATGATTGTGGACAATTTGTAACAACTTTTAATAATAATTGTTTTGATTAATTGAAAATTAACTACAGCATTGAAAATTTTATTTTTCAGATACCTGCAAGTGTTTAACAAATAGGGGATGTTTTATGGGAGGAGAAAAGTAAGTTAATATATTTTTGCTAAACTATGCTTTTTCTACTGAGTTTAAAAAATAAAACTGACAAATTCTAACCATCTTAATTTATCTGCATTATGCTTATTTTTGGTGAAAATCTTTTATTTTTTATTTCAGGTCAAGTAGACCAGGTTTCTCAAACTGCAGTATGGAAATGTTTAAAAAAAATGGATATCCTTGTTTTACAGATTATCCTTCTGCTGTACGTATATTTTAGATAAAATTTCATATCCAAGTTTTGATAATTATTAAATTTGTATTTGTATGAAAGTATACAGTTGTTTAAAAAATATTTTTGTCTCAAAAAAAATTTTTTTAACCATTTTCTTTTTATTAATTAGTTTTTAAATATGGGGAACAAATTAAGTTTAGTGAAAATAAAAAAATTGAGATTATATTACATTTATTAGTAATAAGTTTTAACCCATCATTTTGAAAAATGGTGTTTAATTACCTTGAAAAATTTTTATTATGTTGTGTTATGTTACGTTAAGCTGCATTCTTGTTAAACCCATTGTCTGCTGAGCATCTTTTAAATGGTTTAAATTGTTTCACTTACAAACAATATAAATATTTTTAAAATATTTTTGAATACCCTATTAGTTGTCACTTTATTAGGATTCGCAAAAATTTGCTGAAAAAAAAAAGATATCTTTTTATATATTAACAAAGTCTTACACATAAGAAATAGGAAAGACTTTGTTTTTTTACTACATAGTATGTCTCTAATGTATTGCACAGATCAAAAAAGAATTATTCCTTTTATTTTATTCATATAGAACATTTAATAAACAAGCCAAAATTAAGTTTAGCTTTAATGGTGGAAGAAACAAAGAGCTCTTACTTGAATAAAATTGTTTAAACATGAACAAAAAAGTTAGAGTTATTGTGCTCATTGTTTTTTGTATGACATTGCTGTTTATTCAATTTTTTGATGTCATTTTATATTTTGACATTTCTGTTTATTTATTTTTTTGTTGTCATTTTATATTTAATTATTTTTGAATTTAATTTTGATTTAGATTTTAATAAAATTGAATTTATTTTATTAAATGGATTTTGATTTAGCCCATGACTAAATTGTGTGGCAACGGAGTTTCTGAAGAAAATGAAGAATGTGATTGTGGAACCGAAGAGGTTTTAAAAGATGCATTTATAAATACCTTTTTTTTTTTATCTATAAAAAAGAAATAATCTTAAAAGAATGAAGAATAAACAAAAAACATTTTATAATTTTAACAAATAATAATTATTTTAGGCTTTGTTTTTTTATTTTTAAATTTTTTATAAGTGTTAAAGTGTGATGTATTTGACTTGTAAAACATGGCTTCTTTACTATGGGAAGCATTATATGAATAAATAATATTAATTTGTTCTATTTTGATTTATCATTGTTTCTACTTGATAATAAGTTTTACAAACAAACATTTATAGGCATAATTATAAGTCTTTTTATTTACCATAATATAAAATAACTATCATTATAAACACATTATTTTATTTATTGCAATTCTTACTTGTATAAAAGTAGTATAAAGAATATCTTTTGAATAGAAAGCAAAAATATTTATACAATTTAAAATATTAACTTTAGATGTGTAAAAGAAATGGTGATAATTGTTGTGAGCCAAATAATTGTGTATTAAAACCTAGTGCTCAATGCAGTTATGTGAAAAATCCTGAATGCTGTCAGCCATCTTGTTTGGTAACTAATTTATAGCAAACTAATAAGATTTATATTAATGACTAATATAATTATGTATTTTTTTAAGAAAAACTAATTTCAATCATGAAAATAATAAATTAATTTCCATGATTTTACACTTATGTGGCTTTGACAGGTTTGCTTGGATTACCATCCAAGGTTTATGAGCTCCTCCTAACTTAAAATTAATGTAATGGTTTCAATATAAGGCTTTTTTTATAATTTTTCATTATATATTATATATTGTATATTCATTTTATAATTTAATTGTATATTCATTTTATAATTTTTCATTTCAATCCATTTCATAATTTTTTATTCAATTTATCCTATTTTTGTGTTTTCACTTTTATCACATAGGTGCTCTAAAATAATAAAATATAATTTGCAATATCTGATCTATTATTTTTTTTAAGTAAAGCTATCAGATTAAACTTATAAAAATCATTTGGATCTCATGAAAGCTATCAAAAAAGTAATTGGGGTGAGCACTCAAAAAAACATCACAAAGACTAGATCGAAGAATTGTTAAAGAGCTTTCAAAAGATCCATTTTTATCATTCACAAAATTAACAAAAAAATTTAAACTTCAAATTTCTAATCACACTGTGCAACAAGGAAATTATGTAAATAGGAAACAATACAGGGCCAAGAATAGAACCTTGCATTACCCTAGAATGCAAGTTACAAGATTCAGTCAAGCACTTACTAAATAGTTTAATGAGAATTGAGGATTATTTTAGCAAAAACTTTTTTAAGACTATGACAGCAATATTGTCTGGACCACAAGCTGTATAAGGGAAACGTTAAATCCAATCCGTCAAAGTGCTGTTTGAACAGTTTTTAAAAATTCTAAACCCGATTATGGCATTTACAATGTGATATAAATGTTATCAAATTAATATTAAATGCAAATGTTATTAATAATAACATGATTAACAATAAATATTAAATACAAATGTTATTGTATGTTATTAAAAATCTCAGAGTTCTTTTACAATAAAGTACAACTTTATTTCCGTTGGAGATTGCATTGGTCAGTAAAATATAGATTGCACTTTGAAGGATTGGATTTAGTGTTTTCCGCTGTATAAGATTTTAATTGAGAAATGACTTTTGCAAAGGAGGCTGGAGTGGTTTGGTTGTCTAACAATGGGTTAACCTGTTTAACTGGAATGACTGGAAAAGTATGACCATTAGATGTAAGAGTCAAATTAGAAGAAAAGTTATTTGTAAGTAGTTCTGCCTTATCCTTGGGAGATTTAAAAAGATCAGACCACTCTTCTAGCCTTTGCTTACTAAGTGAATCCTACAAGGCAGCAGGACACAGAACAGGTTACACTAGAATACATGTTACCAGTATTAAGGTGATAATGATGACTATATGCCTGACTTGACAATATTAATGTTAATTTTAAAACTTAATTAAAAATAAAAAAAAATTTAATACTATTTAAGTATAAAATCTATGCAATGACCATAAGTCACTAAAGTCAAGTTTAAATCCTCACATCTACCAATACAAATGAAAAGATTTCAAACCAAAATTTTGTTAAAAGGCAGCCTATTGACCATTATAAAAACTTTAGATTGCTTTAATGAACCAAATTCAATTAAAATCAAAGATTTATCTTTTACTAATATAAATCTTTGTAAAAGCATTTTACAAAAATTTATCTAAAATATTTTGCTTTTTAAAAACTAAGAACTACTAATCTATCTAACTACTTGAAAGTATTAAAAAAAAGAAATAAGAAGATAATAAGATGATTAGATTTAGTTTTAGAAGTCTTTAAATCAAGCATAGACTTAGTTGGCACATATATTTCAACAAAGCCACAATCAAAGAATCATGATGCTTAAGGTATCTTCATACCTTATGGTATCTTTATAATAAGGGTGTGGTATTTTCATATAAGACTTATATTATCTTCATATTAACTTCTTGCAAAATAAATAATTTTTATGATTGTCTCCAAAATTTCTCCAAAAAGAGTTTGTCTGATTTCATACAAACATTCAGTTATGATTGTAGAGGCTGATTACCTAAATAAATTAAAAGCAAGACTGGATAAATGGTGTATAGAAAAGCAAATGAATTGAGTTTGCACAACACTAATTTGAACACTACAGACACTTTTTAAATAAACACCTATTCCTGACAACAACAAAAAGTTAAATTTTTTTTTTACTACAGTAGATCTTCTTGATTACAAATAGAAACTCCTTGCCCAAACTCATTAGTCAATGCAAGAACTAATACCCAATTAAAATAACATATTTTAAGATTGTAAGATTATCAGTGACATTTTATTCGGGCTGTAGTATGAAATAAAATATAAGATTAAAAAAAACATTTTTCCATATACCCAACACCTTTGGTTAAACCAATGTTTTTTAAAAAATATTTTCTTGTTTGCAAAAAGTTTTTTGTCTGTGTCTATTATTTCAGGTAATATTTTCATTCTTAGTTTCACTGCATTGATTTTAGATTTTTATAAATCTTTTTTTATTTTAATTTTATTTAAATTATATTTTTACACACACATACACACACACACAAAAGTGAGTTTGTGTATGTCTGGGGCTAAATCAGGGGCAACTGATTCATTTCAAATCCTATTAAATTAATTTAAGGCTAATATATTTTTTTATAGTCTACATAACTTTTCAAGACTTTAAAATGATTTAGTTTACAATTAAACTAAATCATTTTAAAATATTTTTGTAATAATTATTTTTTTTTAAGGAAAATCTATAAAAATTGTTATATATATATATATATATATATATATATATATATATATATATATATATATATATATATATATATATATATATATGTATGTATGTGTATATATATATATATATATATATATATATATATATATATATATATATATGTATATATATATATATATGTATGTATGTGTGTATATATATATATATATATATATATATATATATATATATATATATATATATATATATATATATATATATATATATATATATGTATGTATGTATGTATATATATATATATATATATATATATATATATATATATATATATATATATATATATATATATAACAATTTTTATAGATTTTCCTTAAAAATAAAAAATTAAATATTACAAAAATATTTTTATATATAATATAATATAATATATATATATATATATATATATATATATATATATATATATATATATATATATATATATATATATATATATATATATATATATATATATATATATATATATATATATATAGTCAAACTTTCAGAGAAACCCCCCTTCCCTCTTAATAAAAAAACTAAAATAAAATTTAAAAAGAAAAAAACATTTTAAGTAGTAGTATTAATAGTAGTTTATAACTTCAAAAATATGTGGTTAAAAGTAAAACATTTAGGGGAAAAAAAAAATTAATTCAACTTTTAACTAATAAACATTTTAAAAATATATATAACCATTTACAAAGGCTTGCAATGAACAAAAAGTGAATAAAAGTAAAAGTGATTGCTACATGCAAAACTCTTGATTTAAACTTATTCCAGTGCATGATTGAAAATAAAAAAATTTAATTCACAAAACCTAACAAAGAACTGCAAGATGATATCATGTCAATAATAAAAAAATCAGATAATGAAAGAACAAATAGAAACATTAAAACTTAAAGAGAATATTTCTTCGATGTTTTCCGAAATTCTTACTAGGATAAAGAAATCATAACTATTAAAATTTTTGACAAGGTCTTCAAGATCTTTTTTCACATAACAAGTTTATTTTTTTTAATCAGTATATTATAATTAATAATTGCAAACTTAAGAAAAAAATATATATATATAATTAATCATCTGTAAATTAAAATATATATATATATATATATATATATATATATATATATATATATATATATATATATATATATATATATATATATATATATATTGTTTTTGCAAGGATAACAGTAGCATTTAGGTAATTTGGGATAACATGTAGCCTTTGATAATGTTACACAAGTAGTAACCAATGGTTGGGTACCCATGTACCCATCAATAGCCCTAGTCCTAGATAATGTTAAATATTTATCATAATTTATGTGCAGGGTACCACTGCCCAAATTATTTTCTTAGAATAGCCCCTGATATATATATATATATATATATATATATATATATATATATATATATATATATATATATATATATATATATATATATATATATATATATATATATATATATATATATATATATATATATATATATATATATATATATATATATATGGCTCTTCATCAAACTTACACAACTTAAGTATGTTGTACTCATAATTAAAAATTTTATTGAGCAGATTATGAACTTCTCTTGATACTTTAAATGTGTGTTGTATTAATGTTTTTGCAATTGAAGAACATTTCTCTAAAAGAATCTAAGCCTTATTTTTTTAAAGTTGAGTTTGGGTCACTTTAAACTAAATCATGTAGTGAATTAGGAAAATATCAAAGAAAAGTCAGGGAAATCCACCTTAAATTATTGGCAGACCTGTATATGCATATTAAAAAAAAAAAATGAAATAAATAGGTTTTTTCTTGTACATTTATAAAACTTTTTTCATATATTTTTTATCTCAAGTTCAGGAAACAAGGAACTTTATGTAGGAAAGCAGTTGGTGAATGTGACTTACCGGAATTCTGTGAAGGAGATAGGGCTATTGTATATATAGTTTTCTTTTATTTCAATATCTTATATATAATGAATATAAAATTATAGACAAAATTTTTTTAAGTTTAAATGTTAATTTTTGCTTTAGTGTCCAAATGATAAAACTTTACGTAATGGAATTCCCTGCGGAAATTTTGTGAAGGTACTTGCTCATCTTTAGTTTCTTTACATTTAATTTCGCTATTTTATATATTTATATATGTTTGTAAACATAAATTTTAAAATAGCTAGTCTGTTATTTTGAAATTTATGTATATAATATATATATATATATATATATATATATATATATATATATATATATATATATATATATATATATATATATATATATATATATATATATATATACATATATATATATATATATATATATATATATATATATATATATATATATATATATATATATATATATATATATATATATATATATATATATATATATATATATATGTATATATATATATATATATGTATATATGTATATATATATATATATATATATATATATATATATATATATATATATATATACATACAGTGGTTTTCATAAATTTAGACACACTCATATTTGAGAATACAAATTTTTAGTTTTTTAACGATAAAACAATGACGAAAAAAGATTTCGGTTAAGTTTTTTTCTATTTATTAGATAAATACATACAGAATACAAAATTTTAAAAAAGTTTACAAAAAAAATGAAATACTAAGTAATAATTAGGTACAACTACATGGTTGTTAAAAAAACTAGACAAAAATTATTCATAAATATAGACGCACGATACATTAGAAGGCGTAATTTATGAACCAATCAATATTTTGAGTATCCGCTTTTTGCTTTAATACAACTAAGAACTCTTCTAGGCATAGACTCAACAAGATTTTTGTGCATCGCTTCTAGGACCCCATACCAGGTCTCCTTAAGGAATTCCTTCAGCTGACCAAGTGTGGAAATTTGAACCTTTGCTAATTCACGGTCAATCCAAGCCCAAATGTTTTCAGTCGAGTTCAAATCAGGTGAGTATGGAGGCTACGGTATTGTCATGATATTATTATTTTTGAACCACTTCTTTGTATAGTATACAGTATGTGCAGTAGCGCCATCTTGTTGAAATTTCCATGGTTTATCATTGAGCATAAGCAGGTCAATTGATGGAATTAGGTTGTTTTCCAGTACTTCTACGTATATTCTGGAGTTGATTCTTTCGGTGTATGTTTGGCACATACCAACACCTTTGTAATTGAAGCATGACCAGATTCCTATCGAGTCTCCTCCACTTTGTACAGTCGGTTTAATGTACCTGGCGTAATACTTTTTGTGAGCCATTCTTTTGACTGTTATGTTAGATTTGCGATTGATAAGCTCAAAGTTACTCTCATCACTTCACATAATGTTTTCCCATTGTTCTATTGTCCAATACCTTCTTTCACGACACCATTTTAGTCTCCTTTGTTTATCATATGGACGCAGAAGCGGTTTCTTCAAAGCAGTGTAGACTCCAATCTTGTATTTGATAAGTATTCGGCGGACTATGCTTTGAGAAATAGATGTATTTCGCGTTGCATTGAATTCTGTGGTCAATTCTTTGTAACTAATTCTTGGATTAGCTCTGACAGCTCTAAAACAAACACTGTCGTCCTTTCTGGTGGTTGACAAGGGTCTACCTGGCCTCGTTTTCTCGCTGGCACCACCAGTGTGAAGAATATTTTGTTTCGTTGTCCGAACACATTTCTCAGAAAATCCAATTAACTTGGCAATTTCTCTATTACTTTTGGTTCCTTCTTTGATGTGCGCAATAGTTTGCCATCTTTCACCTTGAGTGATACGTCTTTTGCCCATTTTTCGCGTCTTTTTAGTGCAAAACTAACTTAACTTTTGTTTATTTATTAAATAATGATTAACTAATTCCAGGTAAGTCATATTTATATAAGGTTTTTTGACAAAATCAATTAATTTAGGCCTATTAATGAGAAATATGGGAAAAAACTACTAATTAACTATCAATTAACAAGATATAAGAGTTTTTTGATTGTGCGTCTAAATTTATGAACAAAATAAAATCAAGCTTATCAATTAACTTTTTTGTGTTAATTGGTATAGAATGAGTAATAAACATCCTGTAAAAAAAATGAAGGTACTCTATAATAGAGTTTTACTTCCTCTTTTAAATTATATATCAAACATAGCGGTAGCACTTTTATTTTATTTTTATTTTGAGTATTTTCTTACATATATGAAAAAAAAAATGAATGCGTCTAAATTTATGAAAGCTACTGTATATATATATATATATATATATATATATATATATATATATATATATATATATATATATATATATATATATATATATATATATATATATATATATATATATATATTTAACAAACTAAATTCTAATTACTTTTAACACTTTTTATTAAAAAGACTGGTTTTTGTGAACGCATATTTTTATAAAAACGTTCCATAATCAATAATTCATAATGTACATAAATATTTAATAGAAGCTGTACAAAAATTAATTATATAAGCATCTAATAATGGTATGACTGTGCAACAAATTTCAATAGAAATGAATATTTTGACAACAGAATCATTTCTAAGCATTGCAGAAGTGAGGAAGGCTGAAATCAACAACTTTTTGCCAAGATATTATTATGATAAAATCTTCAAAGACAGATTTGCACAAGAGTGCCAATCTCTTTGAAGATTTGCACAAGAGTGCCAATCTCTTTGAAGATTTCATCATAATAATATCTTGATTTCATCATAATAATTTTTTTATCTTTGGTGTGAGTGTATAAAATCCATAGGGATTTTACACACTCACACCATTGTTTTTGTTCTTATGCAACAGTAAAGCGCAGCTTCAGACAAAACAACCATTTTGGCTGCCTTTTTGGATCTTAATTGAAAACCTTTTGTTTCTGCAAAAAATTGTAGGCCACAACTGAAGTTTGCAACATTTAAATTGGACAGCAAAGCAATGGTTGACATAATATAAAGTGATGATTCAAAATTCAATATGTTTAGCTCTGACATTTTAAAATATGTTTGACATCCAGGTCACTGAAATGATGTTAAGTACCAAGTTTCCACAGTGAAGCATGGTGGTGACTGAGTAATGTTTTGGTCCTGTTTTTAACCATGATGGAGTAGGTCCAATTTATCAAGTTTAAGACACCATAGACAAAAACATGTATAAAGGAATAATCAAAGACATCATGCTGTCACATACAAAGAACAAAATATTGCATGGTTGGACTTTCCAACATGACATTAATCTGAAGGACAGGTATAAGCTAGTCAAGGAATTTTTTGCCCAAATAAAACTTTGAGTCTTAGAATAGCCAGCTCAATCACCAGACCTGAACCCAATATAACTTGAACCCAATATAATCAACTTGACCTGAACCCAATATAATCACCAGACCCGACCTGAACCCAATGTAATCACTAGACCTGAACCCAATATATCTTAGGAGCACATTGAGAGAATAATTAGTGGTTGCAAGCCAAATAATCAACAAGATTTACTTGAGTTAATTAAAAGCACTTATGAGGAAATACCAATTGATGTTTTAACTAATTTGGTTGATTTAATGCCACGCAGGTGCAATACTGTCATTGCGACAAAAGGTTTTTCAACTAAGTACTAGCATTACATACAGATAATAAACTGTATGTAACAGAATGTAACCTTATGTAACATATATATTATATAAAAGAAATCATCATAAAAAAAAGCTGAAGATTTGTCATTTGTTGTGTCAATATTTTTTTAAAGGAACATATTTAAATAATCTAATTACTTTTAAGACAATCATTTGCGTTTTTAAGTAATCACTCCCAAACTTTAATTTTCGTTTTTTTTTTTATAATTGTAATATAATTTCATATACTTAAAAAAAATTTCATTTTAAAAAGTTAACTTAATGAGAAAGTATAGCTATAAAGCTGTTTGTCCAATTACTTTTGGATGCTACAGTATACAATAAATTAATTTTATTTGTATTTATGTTTTTTTATACAGAACTATCTTGAAAAAGTATTTTTATTGTTTACAAAATCTTTTATTCAAAACATTTTTAGTTTTTTGTTGGACCAACTGGTGACTCTTGGCGGGCTATTTCAAGACTTTCTCCACCAATAATCAGTAGATATTTGAAAATTTTGCCTAAGCAATGGAATGTTGAAGGTTCAGCATGCTTTAAAGCTGATGTGCGTGGTTGTCCTGCAGTTCAAGGTAGTATTTCAAATATTTATATTGAATATTGTGTATAATAATATTAATATTACATTATATATTAAAAATTTGTTTTAAATAATTATAACTTTTATTTTATTAACAAGATAACGATTATATGTGATGATAACTTGCTTTTTAAGAGTTAATAAAAAAGTATTCCGAGCTTTTTTTCAGATTTTGTTACTTTACTTAATTTTTGTGTTAAATTTAATTTTTCAATTTTTATTTTTAGTCATTTTTTTAATATCATTTGTGTTATGTGATTTAATTTGTTTTATTAGTTGTTATAAAACAATAATACATTTTTAATATGGATAAATTAAACTCAGTTCTATTCATTATTAAGTCTAAGGTTAGGCAACTATTATATTGTAGAATTTAACTTAAGGATTATATTGTAACTATTATATTGTAGAATTTAACAATATTTACATCAACCTAATAATATATGACTATATATAAATGTTTCATCACAGCTAATTATTTTTCTATATACTTTTTAATTAAATTTTTACTACTATTTCATGAGAGTAACTTACACTTTTTAATTTACATGAAGTAAACATGCAGAAAAACTTTGAAACAATTAAAACTAAAAAGTTAGTAAGTATTGAATTTAAAATATATACTATAATACATCAATATTATAAATCTATTATGATAAATTTATAAATTAAATAAAGTATAAGTTTTATTTTTTAAATAAATTAATTATATAACTGTAATGTTTTGTATTCTTATTTATAGGAATAAGAGAATTGCTTTAATATTTGTTTCACATTTGTTTCTTTATTTATATATTAAATTGTTACAACTAATTATTATATTAACTGTGTGTAGTCATCTTGTGTTGCTTAAACCTCTATTGAGTTTAGCCCTACAGGTTTTCAGTGAGAATTCCTCAGGCGGAATTAGTCTCTTAGGGAATACTTTAGTAATCATTTTCCATGTAATTCTCCAAATTTACTTATTTTTCAATCACTAATCATTATTCTGAACAATTGTTAGAAGTTATTGTCCAGAGAGAATTTTAAGTGTAAACAATCATTACAATAAGTTTACAATTAAATTTATACTATGTGTTTATTATCAAAATATTATATAAAATTAAATAATAAGATTGAAGATTTGCCTCTAAAATCTGGAATCTACAAAGTAGTTTGGGATACATGCTCAGGAAATTTTTTTTAGTACTTTTTTACATTAATAAGGAAGTTAATAAATTTTCATTAATTTTTTAAAAATTTATAATTGTATTAATTTTTTTTTCATTGCAGAACTAAGAAAAAAAAAAATTTAATTTTTGTAAAATGATTTTTTACAAAAATTTATTCTTTTATCTTTGTAAATTTTATCTCTTATCCTATTTATATTCATTTTTTTTAGATTATGTCAATCTTCCAACTTCTATAACTTCAGCTGAATTATATTACCATTCTCCATTTTGTATTACTCCAAGTATTAATAGCTGTAGTGAAAATGTTTTAGATGGAACAATCATTAAGTATATTGATAGGGATACACGATCAGGCCACTGTGAACATGATTACATGAAATTTTTGTTTGCTGCTGACGGTACAATAACACACGATTGCAGTAAAAAAAAAGTCTGCATAGACACTAATTTCAATTTAATTTTAAGAACTGATTGTTTTGGAGAAACGCCAAGGTTTCAATTAACAAAGGTTAGGAAATATTTACAAAATAAGTAAATAAATATTTATAACATTTATATTAATAAAAAGTTTTTTAAATTATTTTTATCTAAAAAAATTTTATTCTTTTTATTTATCATTATTTATTTATTATTGTTTGAATATCTTTATTTAATGTTGTGTTAAAGGAAAAATCACTTCAGCACATCCAAAGCCAAAAATGTGTACGATGTACTGCACCAGGAGGCAGCTGGCCTACACATGACGTTGCAGCTGGAATAGACAATGGGTCTGGAGAAACATGTATTTCAACATATGATCGAAGAGTAATAGTCATCAATATTTTAGGTAAAAAAAAGTTTTTTCTTTAACTGTTTTTTTATATTTTTTTATATTTTATTATTGGTAAAGTTGTTAAAGAAAATAAATATTTCAGCAAATTTTTTTTTTGATAAATATTTCATTTCATGCTAATTCATATTTCTTCATTCAAAAAATATGCAAATGTTTTTTATTTTAAATAAAACTAATGTTTTATATTTTATTAGGAGATTTACATTTGGTAAAACATGCTGTTTTACCTTTAATTGATGCCCATTGATATACAAAACAATTTTTTAATTTCACAGTTTTTACTGTAACTTTTTTTGATTTTAGATTGCAATGTACCTTTGGGGATGAGTAATAAGGCTTTGCATGAATCTGCATACACTGCCAGCAGTGCATATAGCGATAAATATGCACCATTTAATGTGATAGTGACTAGTGATGGTTGGTGTCCTAAGGTTAGCAGTGGAAGTTGGATTCAAATCGATTTTGGAAAGGTATTGTTGCATACCATTAAATTTTCTAATACAGAATTATTTTTTGATTTTGAAGACAATTTTATTTATTGTAAAAAAAAAAAAGGTGTGTTAATCTGAGATTAACACAAGCCAATTTTTTAATATTTTTTATTTTTTATTTTTTTTTTTGTTAAGAATGTTAGGATAGCAACTGTAGAAATGCAAAAAACGTACTGGGATAGAACAACTGGCTACAGTTTGCAATACTCTGCTGATAATATTACATGGCTTGACTATTTAGAAAGTGATCCAGATGCAAAAAAGGTTTGTTTTAACTAATGACTTCTTTTACTTATTATTGAACAAAAGCAGTTAAAAATCAATTTAATTAGAATGATTGAATGTGACGTAACTGGTTGGATATGATGTGTTTTGAACTTTTAGAACATTTTTTATATACATTTGGGAGGAAAACTTCTTCTGAAAACTCCTGGGATTCAAACCTCTCCTGAAAAAAATCTCTGATGAAAAGCAAATGATTTTTTTTGCCACAAAAAAATTCTAGAAAAATCTCTAGCAGAACCTTTGAATCTTATGGGAAGAGGGCATATAGGGGAGGGATGAACTTTTTTGTATAATATTTTATATTAAAATTATTGTAACATTTAGAATTTAGAAAGTTACTGTTTCTCTGGTTCGTGTACTCCTTCATTAATACAACAATGTCAAACTTTGTGGGAATCAGGTAAGAATTTAAAGTTTTTCTTTTAATAATTTTATGAAAAAAAAATTAAATTAGTTTTTAAAAAATTAAAAACAGCAAAATTTTATTTATATGAAATGTTTTTACATTTTTCCAGCATAAGAAAACCTTTTTGACCTCTTTAAATGATTTCTTGTTGATCAAGATGGCTGATTTTGTCAAAATTCTAAAATCTAGAATAAATAAAATTTTATTTCTACACGGCAAACAAAAAAACTTTATTCTTGATTTTTCAGTTAAGTTTGCGCTTTGTACTAAATTCTTGATTTTTCAGTTGAGTTTGCACTTTGTTCTAAATTTGTTTAAAATTAGTTTGGGTTAGATTTGGTTTGAGTTAAAAATTAGTTTGACAGTTTTTATCTAACCATTTTCAACACAAAAAAGAAAAGAAAGCTCCTGAATTTAACACCTTATCTACCACAATTAGAACTTTTTTTTAGATGCTTTTGCTTTGTTGTGTCATAAAACATTTGTTTTCAACTATAAAATCTCTCCTTTCACCACTTTTCTATGCTTTATATTTTGAACAATTTAAAATTTTGTAACTATATCAAAGTTGAGTAGTTTTTTTTTTGTTGTTTTTTGTTTATTTTTTTTTTTTTTTTTTTTTTTTTTGTAAGGTAAAGAACACAAAAATTTAAAAAAGGTTCTAAATTAAAGTTTTTTTTTGGCTTTAAAACATTAGATTTGTAAAACACACATTTTTCATTTTGTTAAAAGCTTTAAAAAAAAATAAGAAATTGTCTTTAAAAAAAAATTATAGATGCTTTGGTTGCTTCTGATTCTTGTTGGAATAATCTAAATACAATTCAAAATGGATTTGGAACTTGTGATTCTACAAAGAATACATCATGTTTGACAAAGTATTCTTAGATTTTTTATTTAAATACTGGCAATAAATTAGAAATGTATATAACAAATGCAGATGCACTATATATAGATGTATGTGTATATATTTAATTTTTATAAGATACATTCAATGTTTTTTTTTTAATTTAAGTAATATTAAATGTGGTCAACTACAATGTTATGCAAAACAAGCAAAATCTATTAGACAACCTGATTATGGAAAATACTACAAACAGTTTACATATGACAATCAAAACTGCAGGTTATTATTTACTTTTTAACGTTTTTAATAAAGGTAATTTATTCTTCTGACAACATCATTAGATGTTGTCAAAAAAAAGTGGTTAGAGCTGAAAAAAGAAAAAATTAATAAAAAAGAAAATGTAGCTTCCTCGATTGCAGTGATATATAATTATTTGTTAAAACATTCTTTATAAAATTAACTTGATATTCTTTGTAACATTAAACAGCTTTGTGTGCTTTATAACCTTAGATAACTTTTTATTTTTTATAACATCAAATTAATTTTCGCATAAATTAAATAGTAACTAATTTAAAGACTTGATGACTTTACCGGCTTTTGTTCAAGAAATTTTAAATGAAAATAGTTTACATTTTTTGAAAATTTTGTTGTATCATTATATATTATAATATTATTTTATTATTTTTTAATTAAAGTGGTGCATCTATCACAGAAAGTGCAAAGGGCAAGTTGGGAATGGTTTTAGAAGGTACCAAATGTGGAGTAAACAAGGTTTTAAAGTTTAATTTATATATGTAAATATATATACACACAGTACAAGTTTATAACAGATAAACTATGCAGGTGTTTTATGTTTTAATGTGCAGGTGTTTTATGTTTAGAAAAAGCATTCTAAAATAGTAATTCTATTAAAAAATTCCTGTGTAATAAATCTCTGAAACTTGAGGATACTCAACAGGGACATTGTTAAGTTACACTGAACTGTTAGTAATAACCCTTATTGTATATAACCCAATAATTTTGAGAAAATATTTGATCCAGCTATATAAATTAATATTTATAACATGTGCCTATTCAAATAATCTTTATAATAGACTTATGATAAATGATACATTTTACCGTTTAACTGTTTCATATGAAGTAGTATTAAGCAATTAAAATTCTACACTTTTTTTTTAAAAAAAACTAATGTCATTAAGCTCAATTTTTAAAAATAATGGATAAAAATTTTTTTTTCAGTTTTGCTACAATACAGCATGTGGATCCACTGTTGAACATGGTTTTAGTACATGCCCAATAGTAGATGGAAAAGAATGCTCTGGAAATGGGGTAATCTTATTTACTTTTTTTTGAATTGATTTTTTTATGAATTAAGTTCAAACATTGTAAATAAAATCAATCCTAATATAAAGATTTGTAAGCTTATCATTTTAGGGTTGCGCTTCAGATGGCACTTGTGTTTGTAATGATGGATATACACCTGCTGACAACTGTGAAAAAAGTATAATTTTTAATAAAAGAAAATTTAAATTAAAAAATGGTAAATATAAAAATGTAAAAAAAGAATTTTTGAACTTTTTTTTTAATTAACTATTTAGAACTTAGTCCCATTAATGGTGCTTGGACTAGTTGGTCAGTATTTACCAAGTGCTCCAAAGGCTGTGATGGAGGTATCCAACAAAGATATCGATTTTGCTCTTCTCCTAAGTATGGTGGCAATGACTGTATTGGTGTATCTGCTGAAGAACAACCATGTAATACTCAATCTTGTCCAGGTAATTTTTAAATATAGTTTTTATCATAGTGGTATGTGTTATATATTGAACATCGTAATTATGATTGATTTTAAATTTATTAGGAGAAAAAATGAGTTTATTATTTATAAGTTTTAAGTTTCAAAGTTTTTAAGAATTTTTTAATATATAATCTTAAATCTAATAGTTAATTTATTGTTAATTTATATTGGCAACCAATTAATATTGAACTTTTTGGTGTACTGCTGATTCGTTAATAATAATAACATATAAATAATGAGAAACAAATAGAAAGTTTTACTTAGCATTCTAATTCAATCACACATGTATTCTAATTAGAAACAGTGAGATAATATAAAATTTTAATAGCAGCAGTTGCTAATATTAAAACTTTTTGACAAATTTGGTTTGCTAGACTTTTTATTATTAAAGTTATCCTTGATGGGTAATATACTTTTTTATTTCTAATTATCTCTGTTTTTGTAGAAAATACTCAAATAAGACCCTTTTCTTTCTTTAGCTTCCTTTATATGCACAATACTGTATAACAAGACATATATAAAACAAATATAAAACATACAAAAAACAATACACTCAATTTATATTCTAAACATATATAAAAACTTTGCTAAGAGAGAAGTTTATTTTATTCAGAATCTAAATTATATTTAAAATTCAAAAGCTATATACATATATGAAGTTAGTTACAAATAGTTAACTGATAAAACGTAACAAGTAACAATGACATAAACACAGTTACTTAAATTGAAAGTAATAAATTAGTAAAATTAAAAATAATAATATCTGTGATAACAATAATTATAATAGAAACAACAACAGTAAAAAAGTTGAAAAATAAGATTATATTTAACATTAAAAGAAGTAATACTATCAAAGAAAAACATTAAAAAAAGTAATAAAAAAGTTTTATAAGAGATTCTAAAGCATAACTTAATTATTAATTATTAATTTATAAATATACATATATGTATATATATATATATATATATATATATATAATATATATATATATATACATATATGTATATTTATATATATATATATATATATATATATATATATATATATATATATATATATATATATATATATATATACATATATATATATATACATATTTATATTTATTATTATTATTATTTATGCATGTATTATTATAAATATATCTTTATAATATATTACATAAAATACAATTATTTTGTAAAATTGTTATATATTTAAGCATAAACATGTTTTAACCACATATTAAACATAGTTAATTCTTTTTTTTTATACTTTTAAGTTGCTGAGTCATGTCTTGCAATTAAAGGCCTTTTAGAAAAACAAGGACAACCGTTATATGATGGTATTTACACAATTAAACCAACTCCTATACTCACATTAAATGTTTACTGTGATATGACACGAGATGGTGGAGGTTGGACACTAATAGTATCTTCACACTCCAATTCATGGGATGATAAAAATGTTTGGTTGAGAAATATTGATAAACCAGATCTTTTTAATGATTACTCCATCTTTAAATATGCTAACGAATTAAAAACCAGTTACAAGATTCAAGATGACACGTTTAACTATAGATTAGAAGCAAATGCACTAGGTAAATTGGTTTTTAATTTTTTATTAAACAGTTTTTTTATAAAAAATAATAACAGAGGTAAGAATATATTTATAGGTCGATGGGGTGGAGTATTTTCTGCACCTGCAAGATATAATATATCTTCTACCAATGCTCAACAAACTAATGTCGAAGTTCTTAAAAAATTTGATGATTGGGAATTCGGTACTCGAAGTATAAATAAGCGTCTTCCATATGTTTCTGGCTATACTATAACAACATCTTTGGATGTCTCAACAAATTATTGGGATTCGTGGGGTTCACTTACTGGTATGCTATTATTGTATAATTTCTACATAATTGTATAATACATCCAAATCGTTACTGTAGAAGAGAGACCTTAAAATTTATCATCCATTAGCAATCTCTGCTTAAATTTTTTTTTTATTAATTCTTTAAATTAATAAATTTTTAAATTAAATTTTTTATAATTTACTTAAATATGCAGTAGTGGTAATATTTACTTGAGTAATGTGGTAATGGTGTAGTGGTAGAGCGCTTGCTTTGAGAAATTCCAAGTCAATAAGCAAGAAAATCGCCACCACCTTCATAAGTGAGAAAATCCCCACCACATCTCTGGTAGTGCCGCGCTCAACTTTGTACAGGGACCTTGTTTGTCAAGGTTCATGTTTCAGAGTTAAAGAGTTGAGAGAGCAATGTAGCCACAATAAAGTAACCTCCTCAACTGTAGTGCCCCTCTCAGCTTTGGACAAGTATATAAAATTTAAAAAAAAAATGTAGGGAAAGTTTTGTTCCTAGGGCCAAATTTTTTCAATAACCAAATTCAAGACCCTAGACTTGTCTAAAAACAGTAAAACTGATATGATTGCATCTCTATACTAATTGCTCTGTATTAGTGTAAGTATATTGACTTGAACTATAGAAGTTTGTCATTTAGAAAATTTGAAGGTCATTTAGAAGGCATAAAAATTAGTGGCCTCAGATACAATAAGCTTTTTTTTTATTTTACCTAGGGTCGCTAGCTATTGTACATAGAGCCGCTATCTAAAAATTAGGTCCATAATAAATTGACAACAAAAATAGACACATAAATTTGATTCAAGATTTATTTAATCATAGATTATTTTTAAGAAATTTATCTAGCATTACTTAAATGCAACACTTGAATAAATAACAAAATTGACTAACAGTTTTAAGCAAAGTTGACAAATAAGACTACATCTAAAATGGTAGTTCTAAAACAACCGTGAGAATAAAAAAACTATGCACCAATCAAAGTTTAACAATCTACCTTGTTATCAAGCAAATTCTTCAAGCACATATGGCCCTAGGTACAAGCAAATTATATGGGCCTAGGTATATAAGACCTAGGATAGCCTCATAAAAAATGTCATCTATTAACAAACACAGGTTGAGAGGAAACTTATTGAACATCACATTTAGAACTTAAGTAACAAACAATGTAATATATAAGGACTTATAGAAAACGATTTCCTACTCAAGATACCAGCGACAAAAGCTTACTTTAGACCATCAAAAACCCTTTTCCGATTATAACTTGCAATAGCAACAATCTCTAAAAATCAAAATAGGGTTAAAGAATAAATATTTTTATAACTAATCACCTCACATGCATTACTTAGAACTTTACAGTTTTCAAATAAAGTGGGGTGGTCCTAAGTACAAGGAGGCCCTAGGTACACGAACTTCCCCTATATTTATTAAAGTTTAAAATATTTTTATATCTATTTTTTTATTAGTATTTTTTTGTTTCAGATTTTTTTTTTTTATTTTCAATAAAACATATTTTCTTATACCACTTTCTCTTCCAACTTTTTGTCTTTAACAACAACTAAAAAAAGTTGTTGTTAATTAAACATAAAAATAGTTTTAAATATACAATTTGTTATTGAAAAACTTACATAATATAATGAGTAAATAAGTATATATAAATTTTAAAATATGAAACTAATATTTATTTTTTTTAACAATTTACAAGACAATCAAACTGGTCTATATCCATCAAAATGGATAAGAGAAAATATGAAAATGGATTATCCAGAACATGTATGGTAAGGTGTTTTTTAAAGTACTAATAATACCTTATGCTAGTATTTTTTTTTTAAACTTAAATATTTTTTTTTTATAATTTTGTTTTCTGTTTTTGTATTGTGTGCTTAGTGTAAATATCAAGTTATTTCTACTTCCAAGAATTAGTCTTAGATTAAACTATAGTTATTTTTTTGAAACACAGTCATTAACAAGTTTCTACCTAATAAAAAATATTTAGTAGAAGTTTACATAAAGCAGGAATTTTATTTAATATTGAATTTCAAAACTTGATTGGAGATTTTTATAAATAATTTTTGTTTTTCTATGTATAGTAAAAAAAGTATTATCTTTACAAGGTATTGGATTAGAGAAGGCACCTACTTATATCCCCCATCATGTCTTAACCTACTATTCCGAGGTTTATCAATTTCAAATAAATTTAAAAGTGGAATATATGAAATTGAACCAACTTCGGGAAAAGTTGTGAAAACATATTGTGACTTTGATCGATATGGTGGTGGTTGGACTTTAGTAGCAAATGTTGTCACTAAAGATTGGTCATTAGAGAAAATAAATTTTACTCCCTTAAATCAATTATTTACAGCAGACTTTTCAATTGCTGGCTTGCTTGAAAATATGAAATTAAAAGATCTAAGTGAGGTAGTTCATGCTTTAACCTGTTGTTCATTAATTTTTATTGATTATTTTTTCATTTGTTTTATTAAAGTTTTATACTATAATTTTTTTATACTATATGCGTGTGTATATATATATATATATATATATATATATATATATATATATATATATATATATATATATATATATATATATATACACATATATATATTCATATATATTTGTGTGTGTGTGTATCTATGTAGCTATTTATTTATATTAATATTTATTTATTGTATATATGTATTTATGTTTGTTTTTAAAATGTTTTTTTATTTTTTTTAGAAATCTTACCAGATTATGTTAGAAGCAAACAATATGGATTCAAATGGTGGAATTTTTTCTATACCTGTTGAACATAACTCATTATCATGCTCAAAACTTTATAAAACAACTCTCTTAAAAAAATTTGGAACTTGGAATGAATTAGTTGAAAACATAGCTAAATATCCACTTTGCATAGTTTCTAGTGAAGGATTTTTTATGGCAGCAAATTCATTGGTGTGTTTAAAATTTATTTTAGTTTTTTAGACTTTTTTTTTGCATTAGTTTTTTTTTTTAGCATTAAAAAAAACTAATGCATTCTGTTGTTCTTTATTGTTTTTTTTTTTTTTTTTTTGCAATATAAATTGATTATTTCAACATGACATTATTTTGACATTGTGTAGCAATATATTAGTTTGAAAAATAAAGCTACATATTTGTTTTAATCATAGATAAATCAATATAGAATATTTATATATAGAATGGTTATTAATAATGAAATAAATTAGAAATTAAATGTTTTTTTTTTTTTTTGTACTTTTTTAATTATAGCAAATCATATTTTTGTTATAACATAATTTTGTTATAGAAATATATTTTTGTTAAAGCTATTTGTATTTTTTTATAGCTACCAATGTATTTATTTCAGCAATGCATTTATTTGTTATAACAGCGCATGTAACTGTTATAGTAACTCGTGTAGTTTTTATAGTTAACAATCTATTTTTTATAGAAATGCAAGTTTTTTTCAATACATTAAGTTTTAGATTAAATTTTTAATGAGCATTGAATTTAATTCAATTACTAAATTGTTTATAGTTAAACCTAGTTAAATTTTATTATAGGATGTTGGTGACAACTATGGTGTAATAGCAGGAAGTGGAAAGTACATGACTTCTCTTGAAAATCCTTCTTTTGTTAGGTTATGGATACGAGAAGGTGGAAGGTACTACTTTGTTTTAAAGTTATATAAAAGTTTATTCTTCAGTAAAATTAATTGTTTTATATTTTTACTTATTTTTAATATATCTCTATTATCAAATATATCTTCATTATCAAACTATGTGAAATCTTATGAAGCATGCAAGCATGTAAAATCCTACAGAGCATTGGACATTGGATTCTCTTTATTTGAATAAAATTAAATTTTATTAAAGTTTTTCTTTACTTGCTTAATTGTGGGTACAGGTTAGAGCAATATATATAAACATATATGTGTGTATATATATTTTTGTTTTTTTTAGCCGCTATTCATGTAATGATTTGCGAGTACGAGGACTTGTTAATGGCCAGTTGTACAAAGATGGTTTTTACATGTTGGCAGAAAATCAACCTGCCTATTGTGACATGACATCAACACTAAACGAGGCTTGGACTCTGCTTGTTACTTCTGCATCTGGGGGATGGACCTCAGATCAAGTATTATATTAAAATTTTCTAATATAAAATATTGATTAGTTTTAAACAAAATTTTTTATATGATGATGATATATGGATGGGTTAATTCTAAAACATTGTATGTCAGTTGTGAGAAAAAGATTTTATAAGTTTAAACTTGTATACAAATTCAAATATTTAAAAACATTATAATTGTTGTTTTATTGTATTGCTTCAACATTTCTGTGTATAATATTTGTATTTATCTCTGTTCAATATTCATAACACATTACAACCCAAATTTGGACATGCAATGTTTTAGAATTAACACATGGGTATATAGATATATGCATATGTATTCATAAATATATATATGTATATATGTACATGTATGTACTCATTACTGCTTATGACCCTAAACATATTTTAATGTAAATACTTAAAATATATGTATGAAATATTATTAAATATAATAAATAAGTACAAATAAAAAATAAGTTTATCTAATATATATTTTAATATTATGTATATATTAACATTTATAGCTCAGAAGAAATATTTATAGCTAAGAAGCTCATAAGTTTTAAAAAATTATTTTTTTTCCTTCTGATTTTCATTGTCATTGTCATTATCCTCATCAACCATTGTCAATTATTATTAATCTTTATCATCAACCATTATCATCTGTAATGGCTTCTGTAGAAATGGATTCCGTAAAATCATCTTTATTTTAAAACCAGAATTTGGAATGATTAAGTGACATGAGAAATTGGCATTAATATTTATTATATTAATGAAATATTTATTTGCTATTTTTTCCTCAAACCATTATCTGCACTAAGACGTTTTTTGAAGCTTTTCTTTTCATGATTAGCTTTATATTATTTTGTTTTCAGTTAATTTTTTTATTGTTTAATGGTTTCTATATATAGTTTTATTTTTTTATTTTTGTGGCTTGTAGAGTGCAATGGTTTCTGTAGAATTTTTTAAAACTTTGTTTTAATTCAGGTTTACTCCAGAAACACTGGTACTCCTTCTCTTTATGAAGATTTTTCCATTCTCAATAAAGCAAACACGATTAAAAAGTTGTCTAATGGTAGAACAATCAAATATATGCTTGAGGGAACCGCTAGAAAAAGATGGGGAGGGATATGGGAGTCTTCTTCTGCATACTTGTAAGTTTTTTTAAGTTTCATTTTCAAAATGAAACCAATAAAAATTGTGCTATAAAGAGTATAATTTTGAAGATGTCATTTTATAATGAGTTTAGTGTGTTATTGGTGCAATCACATATTTAAAAAGTCTATTGGTTGATTGTTATAAGTTTTTTGTGAATGAAGATATTGTTAGCTTTCTCAAACTCTTTTTACAAATTATAGTTTAATTTTGACCCAAAAAAATTGTTGTTATTGTTAAATATAATATTTACTTGTTAAGATTTTTGAAAAAAAATATAAAATATGACCAAATGTATATTTTTGTGATATTGTCGATATATTTTATTATAGTCCTTATATCATATAAGCCATCTGCTTTTTGATTTGTTTTAACAAAGAGTTTATCATACTGCATTTGCAATTTTTTGTTGTTGTCAGTAACAAGTATCAAAAAATAAATATTTAAAAGATCAATGTATTTTTTTTTTTTGAATTTTTTTATTTCAGATTTAATGCTGCATCATGTCAACCAACAAAAATTATAAATCAATTTGATTCATGGGATAATGGGTCATGGTGGCAAGGTCCCTATCCTTGCCTTCCATTCCTATCAACAGACACTACCAAAGATGGGTTATTAATTACAAGTACTGCTGAATATGGAGGAGTAATTATTTCTAAGAATCCTAAAGGGTTACCGTCTAGTTGGATTTTAAATAAGAACAATAACCCAGGAGTGATTTGGTATTGGCTGAATGAGAATGACTGTGGTAGTAACTACACACCAAGTAATTTTTTTATGTCTTGTTATCAATTTCTTGTATATATTCATAATATCATAAAGATTGTTTATAATTTCATATATTTTTTACTTTTTGTAGTACATACAGTTTTTTCATTTTCTTTTACATTTTCTTTTACATATTTTTTAAGTTAATGGTGGTCTTTCTCCTTGGAGTGAATGGACCAGCTGTTCAGTTTTTTGTGGAACTGGAATACAAAGTAGTCAACGGTTTTGCAACAATCCTTTACCTAAATGTGGGGGAAAAGAGTGTGATTCTGTAGAAATGTTTAGAGAACAATCGTGTGTTGGAAATTGCTTCAGTTAGTTTTTTTTTTTTCTTTTAATTTGCTTTTAACTTATTTTTTCTTTTTTATCTGACTATCTGAAAATTGGGTTTAGCTACTCAAATACGTTCTTCTGGAGATATCTATTGCATTGAACCTGAAGTTGGAGGATGTACAGTGGCTGATAATACAAAACTTGTTTTTCGACCTTTATCTTCTTTTTGTAATAATGAGGCTTCCAGTTTTGTTTTTAATCCAAAAACTGGTAGTCTACTCCATAAATGCAGCGGAAAACTAGTTTGTGCTAAAGATGGTATCAAATATTCTTCTCCGATTGTAATTAGCTCAGCTTGTAAAGAACTTACTCCAGCAAGTCAGGTTCAGAGAACACTGTGTATGTTTTTAATTTTATAATCAATTTTATTAAAAGAATCATTTTTCCAACTCTAGCGAAACAAAAATTTTGAAGGGCAAGGCTATATTATGGCTATACAATGAGTATAGTTTGACCAAGGATGTGCTTACAACTTATTGATATTTGATGTTTTTAATTAAACATTTTTAACATTAGGGAAAACTTATCAAATGAACAGTTTGTGTTTTGATCCAAATGGGGGCACTTTAGCAAATGGAGTTAATCTAATTCTTTGGGGAGGATGTAGGGATACAAAGCAAATGTTCTTGATGCCTGGTATAGGTAAATATATAGTTTGATGTTTAGTTTAACACAATTGTCTGCATAATTTAACATAAAAGTATACTATTGGTTTTTAATATAATTTACTTTGTAATACAGACAGAATTTAAATTCATTTTAGTTAATGGTTATGTTTTTGTTTCGCTTTTCAATAATATTGCAAATTTGGAAGCATTAAAAGTAGGCAAACCCATGACAACAGGTTTTATTGATAATTTTGATTTACCACCTTATGATATCAGTAACAGTGGAATTCGCATGTGGGCATACTTTAAAGCTCCTCAATCAGGTTTCTACTATTTTATGATCTCTTGTGATGATATCTGTGAATTGATGTTTACAAAAGATTCAAATTCAGCTACAAAAATAGCTGGATGTTCTAGCTGGACTAATAGATATGAATGGAATAGGTAATTGAAATATTAACATTTTAATTCAGATCAATGTTAGAATGTTAAGGTTTTTTAGTTATTTGTTTATATTAAGAAAAAAATCTTGATCTATATTAAAGAACGTTGCTTGAATCTATTAGTTATTTTTATTTTATTAAATTTAAGTTTATGTATATATGTATATATATATGTATATATATATATATATATATATATATATATATATATATATATATATATATATATATATATATATATATACATATATATATATATATATATATATATATATATATATATATATATATATATATATATATATATATATATATATATATATATACATATATATATATATATATATATACATATATATATATATATATATATATATATATATATATATATATATATATATATATATATATATATATATATATATATATATATATATATATATATATATATATATATATATAAAGTAGTGGTCAAACAAATAAACACTGCATATAAAATAATTATTTCTTTTATTATTATTAAGTAAGATACACTAAATTTCAGTTTAATATTTTTTAGCACTAGAGGCCTTGAATAATATTTTCCTATTTTTAAACAGGAAATGATAATTATCTATAGTTTAAACTTTATAACTAAAATAGTCAATTTTTTATTTGATTTTAAACATGAAATGTCAATTAAAAGTGTTATGTTTTTGTTTGTGGAGATGTTTTTCATAAAAAATTAAATTTTTTTTATTTTTGAGTTCTAAAAAAACAAAAAGTTGTAAGAAAGGTACTATAATTGTATTATGTGCACGTTGGCAATTATAAACATGATTATTAAATCTATCTGTTGATTGTCCAGTTCTGCAACTAGAAATATATCCATTTGTACGAAGTCTTAAATTATTAGTTTTTCTGGTGTATGTAGTTTTATATTGCAAGATAGACATTTTAAATAGTATATTATATTTTTACTATTTCAAGTTATATGACTCTTTATGTTTTATATGGAACCATTTGATGTTTTGAATGTTTTAACTCTTGAAGGTAGAATTTTCATATATTACAATGATTATCTTTACATTTAAATAACCCTATTTCTTTTTCGATTAAATGGAACTTTGAAGAGGTCAGTATTCTTAACAGATTGGGTGGTTGTTTAAATGCAGTTACTGGCTGGATATTTGAAAAAACTTTTTTTACTCTTTCATTTAAAAATAGATTAAGTAAAAGATTAATTTCAGTTATGAAAGGTTTTTATAACAACTTTTTATAGCAACTTTTTATAGAATTTTATAGCAACTTTTTATAGAATTGTCAAGTTGCTATAAAAAGTTGTAATTAAGGGAAAGATTTCTTTAAATTGATTTTGGGGAGCTGTTCCTTGGAGTTTTGCATTGTGAAAAGTTTTTCTATAATATTATCAGGATATTCACATTCTTTTAGCCATGTTTTTAGTTCTGCTAATTGTTGTTTTTCCTTTTTCTAATCAGATGTGAAAACAATTATTCTTATAGCTAGATTGAAAGAGATATTCTTTTTCATGTGATAAGGGTGATACAATCAACATCAACATCAAAGGTATTTTATTAAATCTTTAGAAAAACATGAATATCTTTCAAACACAGCAGATGTACAAATCTTCTGAACATTTATCATGACTGTTTGCAACAAGAACCTTTGTTTATTCCAAAAAAACTTAAAAGTGACAACTTCTATTCTATATCACAAGAAGAAGAAAATGCAATAAAAAAATTTGACCTACAGCGCTTCAAATCAGAATGTGAAATTCTTAAAACAAGAAAAGATAATTTTCTTTCTTCATTATAAAACGTAGAAGATGAAGTGACGAATTTTATAATTAACCATGCACCAAATGAAGAGCTTAAAGATAAATTAATGTTCCGATATGGGGAATGTAAAAAAGAAGATATTGATTGCATTTCCAAAACATGTACAAAAAAATACACATCCACTAAAATTGCATTTGTAAAAGATAATCTAAATTCAAAAAGTTCAATGAAACACCATCAAGATGATATTAACAATTGCTCAACTTCTATTGGATCAACTAATTTTGGTGCTGACCATAAACAAACATCAAATAGGATAGCTTTAAAAAATTGGATAAGCCTAACTCAAAAAAAAATACAACCTAAGGTCATCAACCTTTCCACCAAACACCTGACAATATTTCAATTATTCCTTCTTATAAAGGGTTCTAAGTTTTGCCTGACAACCAAAAGAATTTTTTTTAACATTGACTCCGATATAAAACAGTTCACAAGAAAACTAATACTAAAAGAAAGACTTCATGGAACACATAATGCTGATATAAGCATAATTAGCATAATTAAAAAAAAGTCAAATTATAATATTAGAACAACTCAACCATTTTTAGAAAAAATCATTTCAAAAATTGAGCGAATTAATCCAATCAAAGTACAATCAGTGGATAACATTACTCAACAAGAAAGGATAGCCTTAAAACAACTAAAGGAAATGAAAGATATAATTATCAAAAAGCAGACAAAGGTAGTACTTTAATTGTAAAGAACTTATCTTATTTTAACAACAAACTAGTTTATCAAGACCATCTACTCTCTTTAAACACTTATGAAAAGGCAAATCTTGAATCAGATAAAAAAAATCTTTAGAGAACTTAGTAAAATGATTAGTAAATACAATTGTCTAACCAAAAATGAATTAAATTATATCACAAATTACAAATGGAAGTCTAGCAATTTTTGCATTACCCCAAAAATTCATAAATGTTATGAAATTATTGATAAAGTTTACAAATCAAATTCTCTATATATAGAAATGAAACCAACAGAAGGCTTCAACCTTTGTGACTCGTTTTCCTGACAACCCTAATCACTTACCTTCACTCCTTGACTTATGTCTTGTCTTTGACCCTAGCTTATGTTCAGTTTCTCCCTTTTCTCCCTTAGGTGGTTCTGACCATGCAATGATCTCTATAAATCTTTCTTCTCGTACTTCTTTTTTGGGCTCACCTTATCATCGCACCACCTACTACTACCCTAAAGCTGACTGGGATTCTTTTCGTGATTTTCTTCGTGATGGCCCTTGGGCTGATGTTTTTTCTCTCTCAGCTGATAAATGCGCCTCCTACGTAACCTCCTGGATTCAGGCTGGAATGGAAGCTTTTATTCCTTCTTGTCAGTTTCAAGTCAAGCCTTATTCTACTCCATGGTTTTCTCCTTCTTGTGCGGCTGCTATATCCAATCGTAATCATTTTTTTCATCTTTTTCAAAAGAAAAACTCTCTTGAGAACAAATGGCTATTTATTATTGCAAGAAATCGATGTAAAAAGGTGCTTTCTGATGCTAAACTCCATTATTCTCAGTTCACTAAATCTCGCATCTTATCACAGAAGTTAGGCTCTAAAGACTTTTTGAAAATCTTCAACAGCCTTATTAACAAGGGTAGATCTAACGTTCCATCTCTCATTCATGGGACTGATCTTATTACCTCTCCCAAGGATAAGGCAGAACTATTTGCAAAATACTTTTCTTCTAATTCCACTCTTGAATCTTATGGACATTCTCTTCCTTCCATTCCAGTCAAACAGGTTGACCCATTGTTAGACATTCAAATCACTCCGGCTTCTGTTGCTAAAGTTATATCTCAATTGAACTCGTCTACAGCTTGTGGTCCAGACAACATTCCTGTCACATTCTTGCAGAATTGTTCTCCAGAACTTTCTTCAATTCTCTCTAAACTATTTAACAAGAGTTTGACTGAGTCGTTTTTTCCTGCCTTTTGGAAAATGGCATCTGTGGTTCCTTTTGGAAAATGGCATCTGTGGTTCCTTTTGGAAAATGGCATCTGTGGTTCCAATATTCAAAAACTCTGGAGAAAATTCTGACCGCTCCAATTATTGTCCGATCAGTCTTCTTTCCGTTATTAGCAAGGTCTTTGAGTCAACAAATTTGATCAACAAATTCCTCACATCTCATCTTGAGTCAAATAAACTACTGTCAGACAATCAATACGGTTTTCGATCCTCTCGCTCTACGGCCAACTTGCTAACTGCTGTAATTGGAAGATTTTATCGTGCATTATATGGAGGCGGTGAGGCTAGGGCTATTGCTCTCGACATATCTAAAGCTTTCGACAAAGTTTGGCATGCTGGTCTTTTCCATAAGCTTGCTTCATATGGTGTTTCTGGGAAAGTTTTTGAGATTATCAAATCATTTCTTTTTAACCGGTTTATTAAAGTCATCCTTGAAGGCCTACACTCTTCTTTATTTCCATTAACTTCGGGGGTTCCCCAAGGTTCCATCCTGGACCCTGTTTTGTTTCTTATCTACATAAACAATCTTCTTGACAACCTTTCATCTAAAGTAGCTCTTTTTGCTGATGACTCAACTTTATACTCCTGTCTTGACAAAAAGTCTTCTCTTTTCGATCGCCTAGAACAAGCAGCTGATCTTGAATCCGATCTCACTTCAGTAATAGATTGGGGTTCACAGTGGCTTGTGAATTTCAACTCTAACAAAACCCAGTTGTTTACTGCAAACAACTACTGTAATATAGTCAACATTCCTATATTAATGAATGGCAATCCTCTTACTGAGTCGTCCTCTTTACGTCTTCTTGGATTATCACTTACTACTGACCTTTCATGGAAACCATATATACAATCGATTGCTAAATTAGCTTCTGCTAAGGTTGCTTCTCTTTATCATGCTCATCATTTCCTTACTTCTGATTCCATTCTCTACCTCTACAAATCTCTTATTGGTCCCTGTATGGAATACTCTTGTCATATTTGGGCTGGTTCTTCTAACGATTCACTTTCTCTTCTTGACAAGTTCCAAAAACGCATTGTAAATGTTGTTGGACCTGGACTATCTGCTAAGCTTGAGCCTCTTTCCCATCTTTGTAAAGTTGCATCTCTTTCTCTTTTCTACAAATACCTTCATGATCACTGCTCAAAGGAGTTATCATCTCTAGTTCCATCAGTTAAAATTCATTCTCGTTTTACTT